ACCGTAAGTCCCATCTAAATCCTCATTACCTACTGAGCTGTGAATTCTACTAACACTTTGTTCTTGGCCTTTGTCTTCAAGTACACTTTGTGAAACTGTTTCGCTAGTGAAATTCCTATAGAAAGCCATCCTCTCACATGGAAATTCTATTTACACCTCCAGCTTTCAGAAAGACTTGTTATGCTATCTTCCAACCCCTGAGCAACAAATAAGACATAACCTCAATACAAAGAAAAAGATAGAAGAATGGATGGATGTAAATAGCAGTGATAAGCAGTTCTCGATCAAAGTCAAAATACAAACTAAAACATTTTTGTCCACAAAAAAATGACGAGCAAACTCAGTTTCAGCAACAGGAGACCAAAAAACACAAACCTAAACTTCATTTCTATCATAGCTACGAAGCAAAAAGAAAAAGTAAGCATCGCTTAAGAAATAGTTAATCATTTTAGAAAAAAGTCACAGGTCCCTGGTTCCCTCGGACAGCTTAATTGTTTGTGGAAATTTATGGGCTATCAGAACAACTACTATTGTCTTCTACAGTCCTAAGCTTCTTAAATTCTCCATTTGCATTTATAAAAAACAAGGAAGATGAGTGCAAGTTGGTTCTGGACATTCCAAAGAACAAGACGCGGCATTGGAAATTCAAACTTGACACGGAAACATTGAAATAAAAACAACATTCACGTTCTTGGATCAAATGTAATAAAAAACTTATCAGAAACACAAGAAACGAGTACCAAAATCACTTCATTAAAGCTCGAAATGAGAGAACCTCACGAAAGAACAAAATCCCATCTTTAACAGCCAAAAAGACTCACTAAACACAAAACAAATCGTATAACCAGATCAAACAGATCCACAATGTCCAACTCGAAATCAAACAAAATCCATCTCTAAAACCCCTCAAAACTCCCCCTCAAACCACAAACGAAACCCTAAATTCGCAATCGAAAACCCTAAATTAAAAACTTTGTTCCCCGAAAACACAAAACTCAACGCGAACAGACCAGGAAAAATTCAAAAAAAAAAAAGAACACGTGACTAAACCCACTCATTTATCCACACACAACGAGATTGACTAATCGGGTCAAACTTTCACATTAACAAAAGGGAGAGTGCGCAGGTTAGTAATCGTGCGCACCTTCTTAATCGCCGGAAACTGAATTAAATCACCGGCCAGGTAAGGTGACAATTAAATTTTTAAAAAAGAACGGGTCAAAAAGAAAAACGACGACGTATGATTGGGTTTGGTTTCGGGTCAGGGTTTCGGATGCGGATTGCGGTTACGACGGTGGCGGTTAAGGAACGGCGAGTAGTGAGTAGACGGAGAAGGATGGTGGTAAGTGGAAGAGGAAGACGACGAGGCGTATAGTTTGGATTAATCGCCGATCAGAAAAGAGAGAGAGAGAGAGAGACAGCGCTTTGTTGTTACGTTTATGTTTATCAAAAGAGAAAATTAAGAAGCGATATCAAGGGTTTTCATTTTTATTTTTTATTTTTTTCTTTGGAGAAACGTGTTTATAGTAGCCTTCTCTCTATATTATTTTTTTAATTAAATGCAAATAAATAATAAAAATTTATTTAAAATTTCAAAAATAATAGAAATAGTGAAATACTTTTGTCGTTGTGTTTTATTGATTAAATTAAACGATAAAAAATATATTTATATGTTTATTAATTTATAACAAAATAAATTTTAACGATTTTTTTCATAATTTATTAATAACTATTAGATAATTTTTGTTATTTTAAAAGAATTAAAAAATATTTTGAGAGGATCTATATATAACATTTTAAATAAAATATTTTAATTAAATATAATTAATCAAATGTATTAAATTAAATTTTATAAAAATGTGAATAAAGTGATTATATATATAGTAGAGTTTAACTTAGGGTCTTACATGAATAAAATAATTTTCAATTTAATTAAATTCATTTTAGAACTCTTTTAATTCGAATTTTAGAAAATATTTTCTATAATCTTAAGAAATTTAATAATTTTAGATTTTTTTGAATATGTGAGCAATTTATTTTCTGTTAAAAGAAAGTCTTTGACTAATGTATTAATAAACTAAGCATAAAAAAATTGATTAAAATCGTAAAAATAAATAAATGAAATTGACTATTTTAAAGGCTTAAATGAAAACGTGAGTGCAATAAGATGCATCCACTTGGCAAATAGGAGTTGGGCAGAGATTGATCGGACAGTGTGGGATGTGGATTGTCAGCACGCGGTTGGGAGGGTAGTGGGTGAAATTACAGAAGTAACCTTTAAAGTTTGGAGGAGGTTCGGTGTTTAGAACCGGCGCCGTATTGGGAGAAGGTTTGTACTTTGTAGTTCTGCATGCTCATGATTGGCCACAAAAACAAAAGCAAATAATATTTCACTAATCACCTATCTAAGAGCTTTGATGGTTACTTTATATATATCTTAAGATAAGAAATACTTTGGTGAGTTGATCTCGCCACATTGTCATATTGATGTTATGAGACCGTTTAATTGAAATCAATTAAATAGTATCATATATACAATAGTTTTGTTTTTCAACAACCACAACTATTGTTCGTTATGAATAATAATCATCTCTATGATAGATGGTTTTAAGAAATTATTATTAACAGACGGTCTCTCACCATATCAGCATAATGATTTAGGGTAATGTTATTTGTACAAAGAGAATTTGTACAAACTTACGTAGCATGTCACAAAATATGTCATATGGTATTAAGATCCACGTAACTTCATGTCATATGACACTCACATAATGTACCACGTAAGTTTATACAAATTCTCTTTATGCAAAAAGTTTATATAAATAAGATTATCCAATGATTTAACGAGATCATCTCGTATAAGTTTTTTTACTAAACAATACATGTCATTCTTGTTACTATATTGACCGACTAAAAAAAAACTCATTCTCATCCGCGAGACAATCTCATGACATCATTTCCTTGATGTGATGAAACGGTCTAATGAAATAGTGCTATATATAGGTCTCTCATCACGTTAATTAAATGAGATAGTAAAACCGTCTTTTATTAATATTTTGTTGTTTGGTGGGATGATTTTCTTATCATTAAAATGCTAAATCATTTTTCTCCTTCTTGAGATTGCATCATTATTATGTAGATAAAAAAAAAAAAAAAAAACCAAATATTCATGTCCCAAAAGGCCAAAAATTATACCAAAACTCTTACTTAAATAACGTGTAATCTTATGTAATGTTGAAATATAAAATGAAGCTATAATTTGGTAAATGATATGATAAAACCGAACAAATTGATACATCAATGTTATATTTATATATTATTCTTCTTCATAATTATACATAAAATCTCACTCGATGTGCAATCATACAGGGCTATCACATAAGATAACACATCATCCAAATGTAATTTTTAAGGTATTTTTGGGAGGTATAGAATTACCCTTTCGAGATAATGGTGTCAAATTACAAATCTAACCTCATTTGACTAAGCTCTCAGCCCAATTACTCATACTTAGGGCCATATTGTACAGTTTCTTTGGCTTTATGTTCCATCCCTTCATCCTTTCATCTATTCATTGATTATACCTTTCTCTTTCAAAATCAAAAGCACTTACATGATAAGGGGTTTTCAAAAGAACTGATTGAACCAGAATCGACAGATTTTTGGGGTTTGATTCTAGTTTCTACCCAGAACCGATAGTCAACAGGGAGGTTCCGGTTCTAAATTTTTTGAACCATCACTGTGCGATTCCAATAGTTAGGAACCGGAATCGAGACTAATATAAAATAAAATTAAATAGTAGGTTAATAAAAAATTCTGTAGATAAAGTAATGTGAATATATTTATATTTATATTTCATAACATTTAAAGTAAGTTGGTTTGACTTTTGAGAATCTATCTTTACAAAGTAATGGAAATTATAATTTTGAATTTATAATTTGTAATTTAATTTTTGTTAACAAGTGCCAGGTTGGGGGGTATTTGTAAGTTTTTAAAGTTTTTTTTTACCATTTTAAAAACTTTTGGGGGGTCATATAATTTTACAAGGTACCCAGAATTGGAACCGTTGTTACAGGTTTCTGTTATGGGTACTTAGGAACCGAAACCGTCAGTTTCAGTTTCGGTTCCAAATTTCAAGGAACCGTCGATTCCAGTTCCTTCAAAAAATATAGGGTACCCGGAACCGAATACCCCTACCCCTACGATAAATTGTGCTTTGGTTTTAAAAAAGGATCTCATTGTTCTTTTTCATATATGGTTACCAAGCCATGAATGGGAATAGAAATTCATGGGACTAAAATTTTCTCCATATTCATAATTTTTTTTCTCTTTTTACCAGTGAAAAGAATTATGAGTAAAATTTTCCCTTACTCGTGAAAAATTTAGAAGTAGTAAAGAAAAATAGTAGTTGTTTAAGTAAAGAAGAGAAGATAAATGTTGTGAACTTGCGAATGAGGGAGATATAAGGGTGGTGTTGTCACTATGAAAGTTACATGGTTATTTGTATGGTCAATTTCCAAAGTCTAAGGGATGTGTGTGATATTATGACTAAAATGATAGGCTTTATCGATATTTTAGAAAACAATAGAGGTAATTAAAAATCATTTACCATTGCTGAACAAATCAAAATAACTTAATTATAACGATTCAAACTTAAATTGTATGGTCGAGCTGCATGCTTAAGTCACAATCTAATTATCCGATAAGGGTGGTTTATTGTAATTTGTATTATTGTTGTACATATTTTTTTTGTTTTTTTGGTTTTAGTGTTTGAATCGGGGATTGAATTAAGATTTTATCAGGTTTATAGTGTTTTTGTTTGTTTAAATATATATAAATATATGGCATATAAAATGATGAGAATACCCAATCTGGTTTTAAGGGTGAAAAGTTACTTTGCAATAGTTGGGGATTACCATGTGATTTTGAAGGAAACTTCCTTTTTCTAGGATGCTTTTGTAATAACGAGAATCTAATGAAAGTGGATAGCGATAGCCTCTGGCTCTGGACACGCCAACCCACATTCAAGAGCGAAGTTACACGGTTAAAGGTGAAGTCTTTCGCTAACTTCAACACTTCCAGAAGTTCAAAGAAGCTTCTTTCAATACTTTAATGGTGGTGTCATCAAGATCTTCTGTTGTGAACCCTTGCTTCTTCTTCTTCTTCCAGTAGTTCAATGTTAAGCTTTTGCTCAACTCTTAAATCTTCTTCAGTCTCCAGCATCCACAGTTGCAACTGGAGGAGAAGAAAGAAGCCTCGTTTACTTCAAATATCCGCAGTTTCTTACCAGAAATTCATTGACTTTGCTCTCAATGAAACCAAACATCATGCCGTTTTGGTCCCTTCTCCACTGCAGGTACTTTTCATGGATATTTAGTTTTAACACTGTGTCTTGGATGAGCATATTTGGATTCTTCTGGGTTTGGTTTGATCTGGGTATTTTACTTTTATGTGTTTTGACTTTGTGTTCAGTTTCTTGTGTGAGTGAAGTTTCACTGAGCTTTTAGTTAAAATCCCAAGTCTATATTGGCTGTTACTATTCATAAACTGGAGTACTGTTTTGGATGAAGCTGAGGAGTGTTGTGATGATTTAGAGCGTTCTTGTTATCAGCATTTAAAATTGAATTGGTTTCTGGTTGGAAGATCAAAGAATAGTGTGTCTCTCTTGTCATGAAGTGGGTAATGAGACATTAAGTTAGTGTCATTTGAGTTCTTTTAGCTCTCTTTGGAAAAAAAAAAAAAAAAAAAAAAAACAGTTTTTGTTTATGTTGAAAGGGGAAACTTTTGTTATTTATGCACGGTAGTGTGATTAAGCTGGAAGAAAAGAGAAGGTTTGTTGTTCATAAGGCTAAATTCTTGTTGATTGTTAGAATACGCAAAACACTGGGAGAAGAAAATTACTCTACTTGAGTTACCAATTTTGATGAATGAGATATGGTTCTGCTTTCAAAAGGCTACAAGATGTCATATATAGTCGAAAAGTTAGTAGAATGAGGGATGAATAATAGCAAAAAGCTTAAGACATGATTCATGAATAGCTTCTCCCACCAGTACTATTCCACTAATTGTCTACCCTGACTATCTAATCCAGAGAAATGTTGTCTGCATGGTAACTTAATTCACTATTTCTCTTTTGTCGGCTTGATATTACGAAGGATGGATGGCTTACTCATTGTGAAATTTTGATGATTAAAAGTTTGTTAGAGGGATCATCATGTCAAGCTTTGTTGCATGTACTGTTTAAGAAACGTATGATAGTAAAAAAATTATTGAGAACCATCGCAGTTTGTTATTCATCAATTTGATTGGAGTATTCTGTAGTCCTAATGTAGTTGTATATAGAGTGGCATTTCTAACTATCCTATGCTCAAACATTACATGACCAAGAAATTTCCAGCAGTTGTCAATAAGATGAATTATAGTTCTATTGTATCTAGACATATTTAGGATTAGATACCTGAGCTTGATTCTCATTGAAGGATTGATTTTGGCTTCCTTGTAATATAGGTTGAATTTGGTACCAATCATTTCTAAGTAGGTTATCACAACCTTTTGGGGTCACTTGCCAGTTCCCAAGAAAATGGAAAAAAGAACAAAAGAATTTCATGGTCCTTGGAGATTTACTTAACCATTAGTTATAATGTATGCAATTACATAATCTTCTATTGAATCCAGGTACTAAGAACAGACTGTAAGCAGAAAGTTGTTATGGTATTCAATTTTGCTGTTGCTATTTTCTGTGGAATGCTTAATTATCTGAGCTAACAAAATCTTTCATCATGCTACTATCATGTTACCATAACTAACTGTAAACAGAGAAACAGAAAGTCAGTGTGTTTGACACGAATTCATCTTATGTTTATAATCCAGCTGCTCATGAATGCATTTTTTTTTTTTTTTTTTTTTAATCAGGAAAAATTTGGTACTTTGAATGCAATGGATGGAAAAACGGAGCTGCAAATGTTATCATTCCAAGCGCCCAAGATTAGACTCCTACGCAGTATGTACATTCAGAATGAAGTAATGCAGGTAGTATCTCTAACAACATTGTTACTTCTGTACATAATTACCTGAAGTTTTAAGAGTTCAACAAGAGCTGAATACCATCAAATTACATTACTGTTTTCCAACTGAGAAGTACAAAGGTTTTAGGGTCTCGTCGCAGACAATTTATTTTGATTGATAGATGATTAGATATTGCAATTAGTTCAAGCTGGTTTTTTTGAGTCAACAAAATAATATCTTGCTCACACGTCATCGAAAGTTTCTTTACTTGATAAACTAAATATGTCAACATGTACCTACATTATTGCTTACTAAATGGATGGAAACGACAGCTGATAATGCACTCACAATTGCGTGGATTATTTTGATGCATAATGTGTATTATTGTTTTACTTGTAACAATGCAGTTCTCCATATTATTTTGCAGGTTTTGGATTTTGCTGTCTTCCCAAAACCAGAATTTGATGTGCCTATATTTTGTGCCAACTTTTTCACAAATGCTAGCATGAACATTGTTGTCTTGTAAGCTTCCTTTTGCTTTCCGTTGATTCAAGATTTAGGGTCTGGAATTTCATTTTATTAGTACTGTTCTTTTCCTGGCTCTGTGATAGACAAGCTGTGTCTAGTAACTTGGTTTTTCTCTCTATTAACATGTGATTTGTGAATTATTATAACTATAGACCTAAATTTCTTTTGTTAGGATGATAGGGAGCATTCAAAAGTTTGGAACTTACCCTTGTTTTATTATTTGTAGGGACCTAAATCCTTTGCACAACACCACTTTCCACAGGGAGTACAAAGAGAAGTACTATAAAGGCTTAGTGCCACTTGGTCTCAAGTATGCCAAGGTGAGTGATGTGCTCGGTCCTGGCACATTACATATATCATGATCTTGTAAAATATTATATTCATGATCCTCTCTAAAATTTATGGTATGTTGACTGAACACAGATTTCATGCAGCTTTTACCTTGGGGAGGAAAGCTCACAAGTGAGTCTATAAAGTTTTTTTCACCTATAGTGATATGGAGCAAGTTTACTTCAAGCCAAGACAAGCATGATGCTTTGTATTCTGCATTCATGGAATACTATAAGGTAGAGTCTATTTTAACATGGTCATCAATCGACATGCTACTAATTTTGACTGGATGATTTTTTGTTCTGAGGCTCCCATTACAAGCTTGTGGCTGAATTATTCTTGTGTGTGTCTATTTTTGCCTTCCAGGCATGGCTTGAGCTGATGGACCAAGCGGTTGAGGGGACAGACGTGTCTCAAATTATGTGCAATTGTGAAGCACAACATAGATATCTAACATGGAGAGCAGAAAAGGTAGTTCTTTGCAACGCTTCACAATCAATGTCTGTACTAAAATTTGAAAATGCCAGTCATAATACATTATATCTGGCATCTGATTCTAATGATATTTTTGAAAAATTGTCTTGAAGCACTTTTATTCCACCACAAGCACCGGGTAGTTGTCAAGATAAATGCCTAGAGATGGTCCGAGGGCCTTGTCATTTTTCGTAATCTTATTAGAATTATATAGAGTGGTAACAAGAAACTAAAGAAATGCATGCTCAATTTTGAGATGCTAAATCAACGTAATTTTTCCTTGGCATAGCTGAAATATTACGGGCAGTTGGGCACTATAAACGTTATACTAAAATCATAGGAGTTTGAATGTATTTCATATAACAGACACTATTAACTGACTTCAACAATTTGTACTGACCGTCTTCACTTCACACACCACAATCATGCACGACCCAAGTGCCTGAATGGCATCAATTATCATGAGATGTTAGGCAGCATCTTTTTTTTGATTGAATGCTGCATGCTCAACTATGAAAGCGATGAAAATATGGCAGTCATGTTGACTTCAACCTTTTGAATATTCAATATCATGATCAATGCCCCTGCTCTGCCCCCTCTACTTCTCTGACTTGTTTTATTTATTAACTTCTGGAAAACAGGATCCAGGTCATGGAGTTCTGAAGAAGTTGATTGGTGATACACTGGCAAAGGTACCATTCACTCAGAAATTGTTTCATTTCACTATGGATAAATAGTGCGGCTATACTTATTCTCAACAGTTAATGTTGCACTCCACGACTTAATAATCTAATCCACAGGACTTGCTAAGGAACTTCCTTTTTAGCGGAGTCAACGAACTGGGAAGCAAGAAATTCCTGGATTACTTTCCTGAGTACAGCTGTGAGGACGGGAGTGTAAGTGAAAAGCGCAGCATCATCGGAAAGTCTTTTGAGAACCGCCCCTGGGATTCCCGAGGAGAATTTGTTGGTAACAACTCTTGAGAGCTAATATGTAAGCTTGTTTTCCCATTTCCTTTTGCCTCTGTTGAAAGAACATTTTATGCTTTACCTTCTTAGTTTATTGCCAAAATGAGGCTCTAATCCTATGACATTTCCCCGGGGGGGTGGGGGCAAGATCTTTGTATACTTTAAAAAAGTATTATTATTCTGTAGTATATACAATTGGGTGGATCCTTTCATCACAGTCCTGGTCCTTTTGTACAAGAGACTTTTTGAAGTTCTATAAACTTTGTACCAGGAGACAATTGATAAAAATAAATAAAGCCTTATTGAAAGAGAATTAACCAGTTTTGTCTGTAATTAATTTATAGATTTTATTGAAGGGATCTTACTAATGAGGCCTTAATTAACTCAAAGGGAAGGGTACTCCAATTCTACCTATAAAAATCATTGTTTTAAAACCTGAATCGGAGGGCAACTCGTTTTGTTGCTCGGGTTATGGGTCAACCGGTTAGACCGATGATATCAGCGATAATTTTATTTTGAAAAAATTACTATTAATCATTTAAATTTTAATACATTATAAAAATCCCCCTAAAAAGTTCAAATTAATCCTTAAAATTTTATTTATTTCAAAAATACCTCAAAGATGACCAATTAATCCCTAAACTTTTGACATAGCTCCAAAACAACCCTATAAAATTACAGATTAACCCTTATAATTTTGAAATATTACAAAACCCATAAGACTTGAACCGGACCGGAGAAGCTGCCAGGTCCCGGTCGGACTGGTCTGGTTTTTAAACAGAGATAAAAATATTAAGGAAAAAAAAATCCATAAAAAGTCTCTCAATTTCTGCAACACTTGTGCTGGTCTTCATCTTTACTAAAGGTAAAATTTTCATAATTTACTTCTGTTTTTCTACTTGTTTTTCGTCTCCAATTATCTGCTTTGCTGTGGTAGAAAATCATTTTTTACTTGGGCTAATTTAATCCCGTGAGATATGATAAAATAACAAAATCCCCCCAAAGTTTTAGAAATAGCAAAAATTCCCCTGTAGTTAAGTTTTAAGTGTTGGAATAAACCGTTGTAAGACAATTTGGTTATATTTATTACCTTATAACAATGTAAATTTTAACGATTCACTAACAGTTTATTAACGGTAAAGAGATTTTTGTTATTTCAAGAACAAAAGGGGAATTTGTTATTATATCATACTTCAGGGGTTCAATATTTAAACCTTTTTTATTTTTTAAGGGATTTTTAAAACAATATATAGTTGTGTTGAGAACCCATTAAATTGTAACTATGGTACGAAATTTGTTATAATTTTTATAGAAGTTTATCAATTTCTTCCCTGTAAATTCAATTTTTTAGTGTCCCTCATTTCTTCCTGAGTTCTTTGACCCCCTTGTTCATTCAATATTGCATTTTGGTCCCCCAGCCAACATAAATTTCAGGGCTTTGCCCCTGTTTAATATCACAAACTACCAAAAATTTCGGAATTTTGGTACCTGATAGCTGATGATAATTCTTAAGTAAGTTATATATTACAATGAATTTGTCGATTTCATTTAGGCAATACGCAGAGGAATGCGAATCATGATGGTGACTCTTGTAACGAAATGATAACGGAAGGAGAGTGCATGGAGGCAGAATGTAATCTTACCTGTCAATCAGTATTCGACGGGGATTTTACTTCTGGAGCTTGCTAAATTGTTGGAAAAAAAAGGTACTTGATGAACCTTATAATAAAACAATAAAATTTACAACATTTATCATAATTGTGTAGAACTCACAAGCATTATTTTTGTATACATCACAATCTCCTGAATCCGGTGGTATAATCCGAGGCTGATCATTGAGCTCCGGCAGCTTTAAACAGTTCTCGCCATTTCTGGGGATTGTTTCCTGGACCCTCCCCCTGATAAATTCAAACTTCAGTCTTAAAATGAAATCACATTTATAAAAGAAGTATGAGCATCTCTTAAAGAGCCATACTATATATGCCTAAAATATTTTTGGATGTCATTTTCTTTTTTAGTGCGTTTTTCATGTAAAAAGTGTACTGTCTGAATTTTGATGAACTTAGAACGTTTTCACTTGAGAATTTTTATATATGTATATATATGCTTACCTCTACTGAGTTGATCTCGTAGATTTCGCCTTCGGTGAAATCTATGTCAAGTGCCTGTATGCAAGCTTCTGCAACCACAAGTCTACTGACCTCTCCTACCAGTTTATCTCCTGAACCCAGTGGCAAACCCCATAAGTAGAGGAGAAAAGAATGAAAAATACCTGAACATTCGAATATTCGACTGAAACAAGGCTAAATCATGCATTATTAATTGTCATTACCTTCCATAACAGAGTTTGCAGACCAAAATTGGGTTCTGTTTTTCTTCAAGTCTGAAGTTATTGGTATCACATATTAATCAGATCAAACCATTCTAAAATAATTACCCAGTTGCCTCATCTTGGATGAGTTTATTCAAGTAAAATCAGAGCTCAAAATCGAGTCGAATAGTAAAGATGGTTCAAAATATGGGCTAAGCATCGCTCAGAGTCTGAACCTCCAGACCCTTGTCTCTCTTATGAGCTATAATTGTTTGCAAGTGATTCTATAAAACCTATTCAAACCCTTGTTCGTCAAACAATTATCGATTATTTACATCAGTTAGCTTTTGTCAAGCACTCCAAGAGTAATAGTATTCCCCCCAGGTGACAGTTTTCAGTTCTGTAGCTACTTAATGCAAGAGCCTAAAACTGCATGTGGTTCTTGATACTGGCCTGTATGTCTCCATGGAACTGCCTCTTAACCACTTAATGATCCCACGATGATTGAAACCCTTCGTGTCGTGTTGAAAGCAATTGATGTTAAATAGAATATGCATCGCTAATATGTGAACTGGTTTTCTCAGAGATGCATAGATACCAAAATAAATGCAAGATCACTGTACTCCAGATTAAGCACAGCTGATAAGTTTACTCCATTTGCAAGAATTATAAATGGCTTACCTTTGCCAATAAGAACTGCACGGCGCTGCCCAGCTGTAGCTTTGAGCAAAGTATTCAGGTCATATGATGTGTAAGGTCCATCCGTCAATCTACCAGGTCTAGTAAAGAAAGAAACACAAGCATAAGTTAGAGGGCATACAACTATATCTGATGAAACATAAACATCTTTCTAAAGTCTACAATGAACTGATAATTTTCCTGAAACGTTAAGCAAAAGATATACAATTAAGCATGCTAACCTGATTATCGTAAATGGAAGACCTGAATTGCGAAGAAAATCTTCCCCCATTTTCTTATATTTGAGAACACCAAATAGATTCATGATGCTGAAGAGGTAAATTGAAACAAAATTATTAAACTAACATAAACATGGAACCTAAGTGCTAACCATCACACGAGCAAAAGCATCAAATATTGCCGATAATTTAACACTATCCTGACTTTCCATCCAAGTAGTAGCTTACCTCCATGGTATTTCATTGAACTTGGTTACACCAACCGATGAAACAAGAACTATTCTCTTTAGTGAAGAAGGCAATGCAGACACAAGATTTCTCACACCTTCCCAATCTTCAAAAAGCACAATGATGTCAACACCATTGAATCATATACTGATGTTTTCAGTGAGCAAATATGTCATAATACATAACATTTTTACCATCCATGCCAGAATAGTTTGAGTGTAATCCGGGTTGTTCATAATATGCCACAAGTAGTCATAAATAGTATAATGCTACTATTCAGCCCATTCCGTAAGAAAAAGCTTTTTGGATCAAGAGTTGTTCAACATGGTATCAGGGCAATTAGAATGAGAAGTCCAATAAGCTGTTCAGCCTTTTTCATTGCAGAACTGAAACATAAAAAATGTTCGATTGTCTGGCAATTTTGTTACTTGAAAAGCATAGCCATTACCTACTCTTTCGGGTGTATTATCCCCATCCCATCTCTTCGAAGGGAAGGCTGTCGTTCCCGTGCAACAAATAACATGTGTGACACCCTGCAAGAAAATCTTTGAAAGTTTAACATATTTGTATCTTCAACCATTAAACATGAAATACAACCATTTAAACCATTAGATTCATAAAGAAGATAAAGGAAAATAAAGTAAAATTAGACAAAGAGAAAGCTCTCACCTCAAATATAGATGGATCTACATCCTCTGGGTTTCGAGTGTCCCCTTTACATACCTAACAAGTTTCAAGAGTTCTTTACAATAAAACTACTACAGCCACAGGCAAGAAATAAGAAATTCAAGAAAATTCGGTTCTATCATTGAAGAAAAATTGATGGCTATTTTCACTGATATATGGAGTGTCACCTGTAGTTTTTCCTCATCTTGTTTGCCAAACAGAATCGTTGCTTTCTCAGGGTCTCTGAGTAGTAACCGGGCTTTGATATTCCGGCTAAGCAGCGATGCCACTATCAATTGCCCTAAAGAGAGACTCAACTTTTAAAATTTACAAACAACAACCTTGGCATTAAAGGAACAAATGGAAAACAAAACCAGCATACCTTAGACCAAAAGCATTACATATTAATTCAGTCCAACAAAATTCAAGGCTAAATATTCTGGGAAACGCTACCAAAATCCCAGTATCATTACCGGGATCAAGTTCTTCATCAGTAGACCCAAACGTTTGTACTATATCATTCATTAATGGAAATGCCACCGAAATCCCGGTGTTGTGACCAGGATCAATATCTTCCAGCAAGCTCACACTTTCTAACTATAACATACATCAATGGAAATGCTACAGAAATCCCGGTTTTGTTACCGAGATCGATATCTTTCAGTAAACCCAAATTTTTGTACTATAACATACATCAATGGAAATGCTACTGAAATCCCGGTATACTTACCGGGATCAATATCTTCCAGTAACCCACAATTTCTTAACTATGACATGCATAAACCACTGATGTTTATAACATTCAAAATCAAATTATTAATTAAATATTCATTCAGTATGAATAAGGAATTATATAAAGACTAGAGGAAAAAAAGACCAGTATGTGCCTACCTACACCACCAGTGCCGCCAACAACAAGAACAAGCTTGGAAGACGAAGGAGGGGCAGTTTGGGAATCTGAATTTGGAGCTTGAATAACTTCTTCTTGCACAGCGTGAACGGCTGATGATGATCGACCTCTGGAGCTTGAAACAGTCTTGAGGGAGCAAAACCCAGAAGAGATGGTGAGGGGTGGAAGTGCAAAAAGTGGGATTCTTAGGGGGTTTTCTGGGAATTTCACAAATGGGTGAGGAAGATTGGGAATGGGAGTGAAGAAGAGTTCGGTAGCCATGAACGAAAGCTTGCAATTGCGGAGTGACTAGTGAGCAGAGAGAACCGTTGGAGTTGTGGTGGTGGTTATATTTCAGATTATAATTCCGAAAACACCCCGATATATTTTTTTTTCTTATCAAAAGAACTTTTCTCATCCATAATTTTTTAATTATATTTTATTATTTAAAAATAATAATACATAAATTTAAAAAACAACAATAAATAGCTTTGGGTGCATTTGGTTTATTATTTTGGATAGGATTTTGGGGATAATATTGGATAGTTGGATAGAGAAGTATTACGAGATAAAATTTAAAAAGTTATAAAAAACCCCCAAAGTTTGCTAATTTAATAAACACCCCAATATATTAAAATATTATAAAATGACAAAAACACCCCTACCACCCGCAGTGCCAGATTCCGGCCACCACAGCCGGAATCTGGCTGAAAAATTGGGTAATCATACATACCGGTCGGATCTGGTGGGTATTTGATCGATATGACCGTTTCCGGCCATATCCACCACGAATCTGACCGAAAAAGGCCAGATTTAAGGCCGGATGTGACCTTCGACGGCCAGAAAATGCCATCTTTGGCCGTCGTTGACGGCAAGCTGACGGCCAGATTTGGCCATTATCGGCTATTTCCGGTGGTTGTGTGACTATTATGACAGATTCCGGCTACCAATGGCGGTGATTGCCAGAATCAGGCAAGTATTGGTGAGTGGGGGTGTTTTTGTTAGTTTTTAAACTTTTTTCTGGGGGTATTTAATGAAATTAATAAACTTATGTGGTCTAAAGTAATTAAAAAAATAGACTAATATTTTGGGAATAATGTGCCAAACAACATTTGAAGAATAGGATTGAGAATATAGATAAAAACAACAAGTCAAACGCACCCTTTGGTATATGTGACACGACCTAATGATCCCACACAAATATGATTCCAATTTTAGAGATTAAGATTAGTTTAAAAGGGGTGCAATATAAATTTTTCCGTATCATAGCGTATTAGTTTCTATGAGTGATTTTGTATAGTAAGTTTATCCGTATCTTATTATATTGCTTAATATGTAGCATTAACGCACATATTTGGTACTAATAAACGAAATATTAAATTTAAGATTAAGTATTAATCACAATTTTTATGCCAATAATATAATTTGATTTGTTTAGTTTTGAACTTAATTGTCGATGGCTCCATTGCGTGTGTTCCGGAAAGAAATGAAACAAAAGATACGATGAAATCAGGAGAGAAGCAAAAATATTCTGATAAAGACCTCGTTATCGTAACAAGGTACTTTTTATTATCCTTTCTAAATTACCATATTCCATATATTATGTGCTTAATTCATTCCTAATAAAACTTTTGTGAAAAATACTTTTCTTGATATTAACACATTAAAAATTTAGAAATGGTAACTCATATTTGATAGTTTTATTTAAGATAAGGGGAGTTTTTGTTATTTACTAAAGTACTGGGGGTGTTTAATTAACCCCAAAAGTGATATTGAGTAATTGACATGAGTCTTTTCACAAGTCAAACTGTGAAACTCTCAAGTTCTCGTAGAAATGGCGTCAAAAGCCCTTTCAAGATTGTCCAGTCTTCAAAACCATTTGAACCCGAAAGTAAAATCAAACACTGTCTTGATTAACATTTTCATGATTTTTTCATTCATTCATTGANGATCCTAGTAAATCAACTCCTAATGTTCCTTCAGTGCAGCAGGCCCTTTTGCCTACTCCACACAAATTGAATTCCTTGCCTGTTAAGCAACTCACAGCAACACAAATGCAAGAACGACGCAACAAAGGTTTGTGCTATATTGCGATGAACGCTTTCACCCTGGGCATCGCTGCAAGGCCAAGTTCTTTCTCTTGCTGATGGAGGAGGATGATGATGAGCACAAGGATGAACCGGGATAACTGCTGTTGATGGTGTCGTACCTTGCAACCTTGAGGACAAGGTTGAGGCGAAGGGGAAGGCAATGTTAGGATTAGGATAAGTGTGTTAATTAGAATTAGGATAAGTGTGTTAAGTCATTTATTATTATCTTTTATGATTATGTTAAGTCTTTTATAATTATCTTTTATAATTATATTATTATCTTATTAGGATAGAATTAGGATTATCTTATTATCCATTTTATAATTAGAGTCCTTTTGAGAGTCAATAGAGTTAAGTGTAGGGCTATATAATAGCCTAAATATAGATTGTGAGAATCAATAAAGAAATTGTCAATTAGTCTTTCTATCTCTTGTTCTTGGAGGTCTCTGTTCCTCATAACAGATCATATCCCAAAACTTATCAAGATATTCCAAGGACCCTTGAGTATCTGGTACTTACCAGTTCATCTACAGAATATCTGTAAAGTAATTTTTCTCAGATTATAAGTTACTTTTTCTGAATTTTGTCACTATCAGTACAGGAAACTCAGGGAGTTTGTGTTGCTACTTATAAGACTCATGAGTTCCCAGCTTTTTTCACTGAAACTAGTGGCTGCAAGGTATTAATGGTCAACATTGTCTGCTTCATTTTCCTTTGAGTTACTTTAAATATTGAATATGTAGTTATTAATATAATTTTTAAAACATGGCGGTTATCTAAAATGATATTAAATGAATGTGTCTAACAATCATTTCTGGTTTTGTTGTGGCACACTCTTTTTCACTATCATAAAAAGAGAGGTTTATCCAAGCCTGCGTCTATGCATTAGATGTCAAATTGGTTGTCACATAGTTAACTTGATCTCTTTCAAGAAATCATATACTATAGTACATTTACATTTAAGTATGAGCAAGTGTAAGAAATAGTTTAACATTTCTTATTCTATGTGAAAAAGGAGCTGATAGGGGAAGCAATTTGATATTTTGGAAGCTCTATTTCTCTCTCTCACTTTGTCTGATGTAAAAGGTTCCTCAAAAGAGAGGAGGTCTGAATACTGTGCTTGCATTTTCTTGCTGGAAGTCCCAAGAAGACTTTCAAGTTCAGAAGCCATCAGAACAATGATGGTTGTTGAAATAGCATATAGATTGAAATTGAATTTAGAATGCATTTAATTATTTTTGTGCAATAGTATGCTTTCTTTTAAATNTTTCTCTCTCTCACTTTGTCTGATGTAAAAGGCTCCTCAAAAGAGAGGAGGTCAGAATACTGTGTAAGGGTATAAACGAGTTGAGTATCACCCTAAACGAGCCTGATTCGGTTAAGCATTAGATGAGTTCGAGTCGATTCACGAGTCGAATCAGCTGAGTGAGGAAAATTTGACTCGTGACTCGACTCATTTATAATCGAGCTGGTTCGTGACTCGACTTGAGCTCGTTTGACCCGACTCGAAAAGCTCGATTATGGCTCGATTAACGCGAGCTCGAATTGGTTTGATTATGGCTCGTTTGACCCTTTTTTATATCACTTGCAGATCTTGTTTTACATAAATCAGATCCAATTTTTGGTAAATTTGTATCCAAATCAACATAAACAATGTATTACACAACAAATTATACAATCCAAGACAAAAAAAAAGGGGTTCTTGTGTTTGCAATTGTCGGCGATTGCGTAGTTCTTGTGTTTGTGGGTGGCTGGGTGTGAGTTTAGGGAAATCGTTTTTGGGGAAGTCGGGTTTTCTTGATGATTAGTAATGTGAAAATAGGGTTTATGATTTTGGGGAAATCGTTTATGCGATTTGGGTTGAGGGTTAATTTGCAATTTTTTTAACCTTTTGCATGTCAAATCACAAAATACAAAACATACTTAAAACTTGTATTTGCAAAAAAACCCTAAACGAGCTGCTATTGACTCGCGTGTTGAATCGAGTCGAGCCGGGGTAAACTCGAACTTGGCTCGGTACTTAATTCAAGTCATACTTGAGCCTGCTCGGCTCGATTAAACTCGAGCTGAGTTCGAGTATTTAACGAGCCTAGCCGAGTCGACTCGCGAGCAGCTTGGCTCGGTTGACACCCCTAATACCGTGCTTGCATTTTCTTGCTGGAAGTCCCTAGAAGACTTTCAAGTTCAGAAGCCATTAGAACAATGATGGTTATTGAAATAGCATAGAAATTGAAATTGAATTTAAAATGCATTTAATTATTTTTGTGCAATATTATGCTTTCTTTTAAATGTGATTTGTAGTGCAATAGTATCTTTCTTTTAAATGTGATTTNTTTCTTATCAAAAGAACTTTTCTCATCCATAATTTTTTAATTATATTTTATTATTTAAAAATAATAATACATAATTCAAAAAACACCTATAAATAGGTTTGGTATTTGTGACACGACCCGATAACCCGACACAAATATGATTCCAATTTTAGAGATTAAGATTAATTTAAAATGGGTATAATATAAATGAGTAATACTACACATACATTATTTTTATACAATATCTCTCATACCATATTATGTGACAAGATATGATTGGCTAATTTAAAGTTAAAATTAAACTTTCACCCAATCATATCTTGCCATATAATGTTGTATGTGAATGATGTATGTGTAGTATTATTCAATATAAATTTATCCGTATCAAGCGTATTAGTTTCTATGAGTGATTTTGTATAGTAAGTTTATTCGTATTGTATTATATATCTTTATATGTATCATTAACCCATATATTTGGTACTAATGAATGAAATATTAAATTTAAGATTAAGTATTAATCACAATTTTTATGCCAATAATATAATTTGATTTGTTTAGTTTTGAACTTAATTATCGATGGCTCCATTGCGTGTGTTCGGGAAAGAAATAAAACAGAAGATACGATAGAATCAGGAGAGAAGCAAAAATATTCTGATAAAGACCCTGCTATCGTAACAAGGTAGTTTTTATTATCCTAATAAAAATATTCTGAAAAATATTCCATATATTATGTGCTTAATTCATTCCTAATAAAACTTTTGTGAAAAATATTTTTCTTGATATGAACACATTACAAATTTTGAAATGATAACTCATAAATATTTGATAGTTTTATTTAAGATAAGGGGAGTTTTTGTTATTTACTAAAGTACTAGGGGTGTTGATTAACCCCAAAAGTGATATTGAGTTATTGACAAAAGTCTTTTCACAAGTCAAACTGTGAAACTCTCAAGATCTCGTAGAAATGGCGTCAAAAGCCCTTTCAAGATTGTCCACTCTTCAAAACCATTTGAACCCGAAAGTAAAATCAAACACTGTCTTGATTAACATTTTCATTCATTCATTGATTTTTTTTTTTTTTTTGGCAGGGTTTAGTGAAGCTTTCGGATGAGGTGAGTGATGCTTTATCCAGTGGCCAAGCTGTTGTTGCTCTTGAATCCACCATTATTTCCCATGGTATTCACTCTCTCTCTTTTTTTTTCTTCTGCTTTTATCATTTCCCTCTAGTTTTCCCAGTAACGTTACTGGGTTTCGCGTGCGATTTGAGATTGGTAACATTGTTGTAACAAGAGTTGCGTACTTACTTTTTTTCATTATAATTTAATGGGGTAGCCACGTGTTTTTCTGCTTTATTGATACTTTTATTTGTTTCCTTACTGTCCTGGCATGTTAATTATGTTACTGGGTAAATTGCAATGTGAGAATGGTCTCAAGATGTAGCAGTGTGTTGAATGTTGTAGTATTCCTTGCATTAACACCTCATTATTTTTTCAGGATTTTCGGATTTTTTTTTTTTTTTTTTTTTGTGTGTGGTGAGAATGAGAATTGATTTAAGAAGATAGCTCATAGTATTGGAGATTACATATTTTGGTTTATCTCTGGGACAAATCTTGCATCCAAATTTATAGTTTCGGGTTTGCAGAATAATTTTTTTTTTGTTTAATAATGGATGTGAGATGGTCATGTTCTAATTTTATTTTGGAGAATGTGTGACGTGTGAAATGTTTTATAGCTTAGTATATTTTGATGAATATGATGGATTTCATGGTTTTGCTGTATTTCTTGCTGTTGTCAGGGATGCCGTATCTCAAAATTGGAAACTGCAAAGGAAGTGGAGGAAATTGTTAGGGATAAGGAGCAGTTCCTGCAACGATTGCTATTTTAGATGGCGTGCCATGTATAGGTGCTTATCTAAACTTTTTCTTGGAAGCTTTTAAATTGTACTGCAAAGTAATCAAAATTCTTTTCTATCTTGTGCAAGGCTTTAAGTTTGAACCCTTTTTCTTGGGGTATGTGAGTTGTCTGTTTTCTTTGTGGGATAGCAAAATCTGATCCAAATGTTAGACTCAGCAGTTTTTTTCCCCCTCTTATCTGGGCCTTGCACAATCTATATTGGGTTTAATATTAATTTTTCTATGTTGCTAATATTTTGCTATGTATAGGTTTGAGTATTGAAGAGCTGGAAAGGCTTGCTAAGTTAGGAAGTAAAGCACAAAAGACAGCTCGGGGGACATTGCTCATGTTGTGAGTGGCACTTAGATTTCAACACTTCTTACATAGGCTCTCTTATTACTGATCTACTTATAGGCATATTTTTGTTAGCTTCTTCTTGTTTTGGATGTTCACTTTCACTTCATATGAAAAGTCTATTGCATTACAGTTTTCTTGAACCAGATATGGAATGGCATGAAATACTACACTGAATTCTTTCTAGCCTTTTGAAAACGTAATATAGATGATTATAAGCAAAAATTCAGCCAATGTTATGTGTTGTAATTTCCAAAAATTAGCAGAAGAGATGATGGAATGTCATGAAATAGTACACTGAATTCTTCTATGTGATTTGCTTTCACAACTGACTGATGCACTTTCGGGTGTACCAGAGGGAATGGTGCTACTACTGTTTCTGCAACCATGTATTTTGTTCTATGGTAATAACTTTAGGCTTCACTGTCTTAATGCTTTGTGCTTGGGCTTATACAAATTTCTTTGCATTCGTTTTTCTTTCCAAATTCTTGAACTTAATGTTTATAACTATTACTTAAATGCTCATATTCAATAGGTTGCATCCCTGTATTTGTTACTGGGGGAATCGGAGGTGTACACCGGATGGAGAGAGAGTAAGTTTTACGTCCATGTATATCATGATGATAGATATTGTTGTGAGCAACATGTTTCTGATTTTGCAATCAAGGAGTGATATGAGATGGCCCATCTTATGAAATCTATGTTGTTAACTCCACAGCCATTTATATTCTTATATTGCAGAGGTCCTCTGAATTCTTATATGCGTGATGCACACAATGTGGTTCAATATCATCCGACTGAAGTAAGAGGTCCCTATGTAGACGAAAGAAATGGTTTTTTATTATGAAGAGCCATGAACCTCTAACTGGGAATAATGTGTGCTGTAAATGCAAGATATCACCTACTCAATCATTGTGTCATGTGATGGGACAATTTGTTATAGAGCTATTATCCATTATTATTAACTGTGTGCATTTTATTATAGTGGTGGATATTGTTTTTTGTTCTTGTTTATATGACTATTTAGAAGAGAAAGATGTTAGAGGATTATACATGCAGAAATATCAATAGATGAGATGAATTATTTTAGTCTATGAAGGCTAGACCATACCTGTTTTTCTGGAACGTTCCATTAGTAATTGTCTGCACTATCTTGTTGTGATGTTTCTATGCAGCTGGATATATCCTCAGATCTTACAGAGCTTGGAAGAACTCCAGTAGCAGTCATCTCTGCTGGTGTAAAGTCCATTTAGATATTCCAAGGACCCTTGAGTATTGGTACTTACCAGTTCCTCTACAGAATATCTGTAAAGTAATTTTTCCAGATTATAAGTTACCTTTTCTGAATTTTGTCACATCAGTACAGGAAACTCAGGGAGTGTGTGTTGCTGCTTATAAAACTCATGAGTTCCCAGCTTTTTTCACTGAAACTAGTGGCTGCAAGGTATTAATGGTCAACATTGTCTGCTGCATTTTCCTTTGGTTACTTTACATAATGAATATGTAGTTATAAAAATTTTTAAAATATGGCGGTTATCAAATGATATTAAATGAATGTGTCTAACAATCATTTCTGGTTTTGCTGTGGCATACTCTTTTTCCACTATCATAAAAAGAGAGGTTTATCCAAGCATGTGTCTATGCATTAGATGTCAAATTGGTGGTCAAATAAACTTGATCTCTTTCAAGAAATCATATAATAGAGTACATTACAATTAAGAAATAGTTTAACATTTCTTCTTCTATGTGAAAAAGGAGCTGAGAGGCGAAGCAATTTGATATGTTGGAAGCTCTATTTCTCTCTCTCACTTTGTCTGATGTAAAAGGCTCCTCAAAAGAGAGGAGGTCAGAATACTGTGTAAGGGTATAAACGAGTTGAGTATCACCCTAAACGAGCCTGATTCGGTTAAGCATAGATGAGTTCGAGTCGATTCACGAGTCAGCCGAGTGAGGAAAATTGACTCGTGACTCGACTTTTTAAATCGAGCTGGTCGTGACTCGACTTGAGCTCGTTTGACCCGACTCGAAAAGCTCGATATGGCTCGATTAACGCGAGCTCGAATGGTTGATTAGGCTCGTTTGACCTTTTATATCACTTGCAGATCTTGTTTTACATAAATCAGATCCAATTTTTGGTAAATTTGATCCAAATCAACATAAACAATGTATTACACAACAAATTATACAATCCAAGACAAAAAAAAAAGGGGTTCTTGTGTTTGCAATTGTCGGCGATTGCGTAGTTCTTGTGTTGTGGGTGGCTGGGTGTGAGTTTAGGGAAATCGTTTTTGGGGAAGTCGGTTTTCTTGATGATTAGTAATGGAAAATAGGTTTATGTTGGGGAAATCGTTTATGCGATTTGGGTTGAGGGTTAATTTGCATTTTTTTAACCTTTGCATGTCAAATCACAAAATACAAAACATACTTAAACTTGTATTTGCAAAAAAACCCTAAAGAGCTTATTGACTCGCGTGTTGAATCGAGTCGAGCCGGGGTAAACTCGAACTTGGCTCGGTACTTAATTCAAGTCATACTTGAGCCGCTCGGCTCGATTAAACTCGAGCCGAGTTCGAGTATTTAACGAGCTAGCCGAGTCGACTCGCGAGCAGCTTGGCTCGTGACACCCTAATAACGTGCTGCATTTTTTGCTGGAAGTCCCTAGAAGACTTTCAAGTTCAGAAGCCATTAGAACAATGATGGTTATTGAAATAGCATAAAATTGAATTGAATTTAAAATGCATTTAATTATTTTTGCAAATTATGCTTTCTTTAAACGTGATTTGTAGTGCAATAGTATCTTTCTTTTAAATGTGATTTGTATAAATGCTCTTCTTTGATTTTTGACAAAATTTGTGCCTTGTCGTGTTGATAGCCCACAAGACTGTGCTCGGTTGATGCAAAGTGAAACAGTTCGCTCATGTTATATTATTTGATTAATAAAGAAATTTAAATAATTCTGTTTTCTGTTTTGTGGTGATTATTGATTGCAGATGCAAACCAGAAGCTTAAGCTTGGATCTGGAATCTTGATTGCCGTTCGCTACCAAAAGAACACAACAGCATCTGGAAACTTAATGAGTCAGCAATACAGTCTGCCCTTAGAGAAGCGAGGTCAAAAACTATCTTTTTTTTCGATCGTCAAACATAATAACTTTTTTTTTTTTTTTTTTTTTTTTTTTTTTTTAATTCTACATATACTTACCATGGACATGATTCAACTTAACTATATACGTTTGTCTTTTGTCAGGGATAGAAGATAACAGGAAATGCTGAGACTCCTTTTGCTTGCAAGAGTGAGAACTAACTGGAGGAGTGTCACTCGCTTCAAGTATCCTTTCTCTTATTATATTGAATAATACAGTATTAATTTACATCTTTGCACATAATTGGTGTTTTAGTGCATGGAGCAGCTGTGCGTGTGAACTTTTTACTGGCTAGGAACAGAAAATAATTTTATACTTAATAGATTTTATATTTGCTACTTTGAGTTGCAAATGATGGTGTATGTTAATTTATGCTTACCAAAAGTTAGACATTGCACTTGTGAAATAAGCTTTTGTTGGTGCTAAGATTGCGCAGCTCTTTCCAGCTCAGACAACATTGTAGTTAAGGTAAGCTGCTTATGCTTTATTGATTTATTTATGATAATTCATAAAATATATATATATATATATTTTTAAATTATATAGAGAAAAAAAAAGCTCTTCTTAGAAAAATTGTCACTAGATTTGTAGTTGCTTCGACATTGCTCCGATCATGAGAAATTGCCATTGGATTATTCTTTTCTGGATTTTCATTTTGCTCAAGTTTCGTAGTAATTGTGGTGTTTGATTGCTAGTGTACTTGTGCTCTATTTCTTTCCGTAGAGAGAAACTCTAAAACAACGGGTCTATAATTTCTTTCGTATGAAATTATAAAACTGCATGGAAATTGGAATCGTCTGAAGTAGTCTATTTTGCGTTCACTCGATCCCTAATCCCTTCTTGTATGTGGCATGATTTTGATTTGGGCTTTCCTAGTTCTGATTTTTGGCAGGTGTTGTCAAGTTAGTACCGTAGGCTAAAAAATGCTGGGATCCCACACATATTTCTTTTATTTTGAATTTTTTTATTTTGCCTTCAGATAGACCAAATCGACCATTAACATTGATGTATATATTGAACTCTTGAAGAAAATTTTCAGGCTGTTTTGCTCTCATGATTTATATGCTTGGTTAGAAGTTGTATTTACCATTTTTTGGTATGATTATATAAAAAAAATAATCAACAAGTAAAGTGACTTATATTCAAATTCTATATTGATATAATATCATTCTATATTTCTATGTGAGTTTAACTATGACGCTTTTGAAACAATCGTACTATGATCATAGAACTCTTGCTGGTTGTCTCGAATTCCATTATTTGGAAGCATATCCATAAGTAATAAGTCTTGTGCCAGTTTATCATGACGCATTACTAATAAGTCTTTTTTGGCTTTAATCAATTTATTAATTGATTGGTTGGAGTATTGTTACAATAAATAACTCTTTATGTTGTTCATTAAATATCTAAATTTGATAGTTAACTTCTATTTACTTGAATGATCGGTCTTATCTTGAGAGGAAAAATTAGTAATAGACATAAAACCATCGATTTAGGTTTTATTAAGCTCTTTATGTTATTTGTATTTATGTTTTTAGAAGAAACTAAAATAATATCTACTTTAAGAGATTATGGACCACTACCAGAAAAGATCCATAGAGAAGTTGGTATAAGCTGATTAGATAATAAAGGGGTCAATTTCTACATCATCCCTGAATTTTCCAATAATTTTGTGTTATGTATTTGAAAAGAGCAATGCTACAATTATAGAAGATTGCGTACCGAATTCATGTACCGAATGATGTAGCTCAATCCTGATCATCGATTAATATTAATTCATCATTAATTGACAGTCAGTATTGCGTCAAGTCATTCTGTGCATGAATTTGGTGTGCACTCTTCGGTAACTGTATTATTTTCCATTTGAAAAATCAACGATTAACACCTTTCTGCCTAGGGATGGTTTGGTATTTTTGCATTGTACCAACTACCAAATGTCACTATTGATCATCATCGTACACAACTACAAATTCAATCGGAAAAAAAAAGTCGCCTTAAGAGCCCAACAGCCGCCGGACAACCTCCTCTTCCACAATCGGACATTCCCTCGTCGGCTTGCCCCTCATTTCGTTGCAACGACAACCCCTGTATCTCCATATTCCCCCTGTTCAATTGTGTAAATTGGTATGATTACTATTCATCTATTTTCGTTTTATGTTGCTTAATCTTTAGGCTTTCAACTTCATTAACATGATATAGGGTTGTAGACTTTTTTTCCCGTCTTTTTGAAGAGAGCTTTAGATTCTCTTCAAACTACTTCTGGTTGTTTGCCACAGCTTGAGGGAACCCAGAATCTGCACACTCTGCCATGGAGTTATTGGGATCGAAGCACCTTGGTTGAATTTTCATCTTTCTCTTTGCTTATTCCTTCTTAGTGATGGATTTTCTTTCTTTTTATAGAGTTTGTTACTGAAATTCCTAACCCTGACCCCTGAGCCCCACTTGTACAAGAAAAAGAGAATGGCATACATGTAATTTGAGTATTCACATCATTTATGGTTGGTCTACCGATTACCAAAGTGTGTTAGTTTAGGTCATTTGAACTGCCCTCTCAAACTAACTATTATAATCGTTTAGCCCTCAACAGCCAGAAACATGTCGTTTGTTATCTAAATCAAATAAATCTATGTCATTTGTACATAAATTATTTTTTCCAGGCCACCGTGGTTCTAACCACGGTGGAGGTTTCGATGAGGTGTGGATAGTGGATGATTTGGTGGAGGTGTGGAGGTAGTTTTAAATTCTCTGACTGTATAGAAAATTATCATCCTGTCCTTTTTCAAACGGTTTTTACTAATAGACTCTAATGGAAGTAGGGATGATCGGATTCGGGTATCCTGGGATTTTTGGAGGAACCAGAACCAAAGCCGACCGGTTTCGGTTCCTCAATTGCCGGAACCAAAACCTGTGAAACAAGTACAGGTACCCTGGATAATTACATTGATCCTTGTAACTTTATAAAATGACAAAAGAACTTGTAAAATTTACAAATATACCCCATTTGTATAAATATTCCATAACAATATAACTTTTTCCTTATTAATTAATTTCAATATTTCAAATAATTTTAATCTATAGTGTAAGACTATATATTAAAATTATTCATAGCTTCTTAATATCCAAAATAAAAAATGTTCAATAAATAGTCTATGACAAATTAAAATTGATTTGGGGATTTCATTATTAGTTTAGGGTAAAATTTATTAAAACCCCCCAATGTTGTACACTAGTTTTATAAACCCAAATTCTTTTCCCGATTCCTTGCAGGGTACCCTATTCCGGTTCCTAGCATGATACCCTGTTGCCGGTTCCTAGCAGGGTACCCTATTCTAGGTTCTGGTTTCGGTTCCTAGAATGAAGGAATCAGAACTAGAATCGGGGGTTCTCAATTCCTATTTTGGTGCAAGTCCAAGGTTGGGCAGGACATAGGAAGACTTTGGTGCTTCATTGTGCATGGTATCGAGTCATTTGATTTTTGAATGGTTTCTCACGGGCTTTACTTCCCCCGAATGATAATGAGATGGCTGGATGGTAGCTTTTATGATTGGACTTTGGTGCTTGATGATTTGTGGGTTATTTTTGCTGCTTTGGTTTGTATGATGATTTGTGGGTTATTTTTGCTGCTTTGGTTTGTATGATGATTTGTGCAAGCCCCAAACAGGAAAAGCCCGTCTTTGATGTGGGTTATTTGTGGTCCTAGAAGCAGATTTTGCAAAATACAAGAAGAATAGATTGGTTAATACAAGAACAGATTGTATTGATAAAGACGATCCCACCAAGGGCCTACTTCGTAGCACAGAGGATGGATCACAAGAAGGAAAGACAGGTTTCGGTCAATACAAGAAGAATAGATTGTATTGATAAAGAATAGATTGGCCCTTTAATACAGAATAAGGTACATGGGCCTTGTGAAATATTTTTGTTGGTGACTTGTAGTAGAGAATATATCTTAAATTTATTAAAGTTAAAAGCTAACCTTAAAGACTTAAAATTTGAGAGAATGTTTAACACAATTTATTTTTTTTTTATTTTTTTTATTCATTTACTGTACGTGAATATTTATGCAGAGAGGCAAGTTTAAGATGTATTGAATTTGCTCAATAATCAACGTTAATGGCCGGAAGGAAATAGCATATTTCTGTGAAATCCAAGGCTAATTCTTTATGTGAATGTTCATATTCATCCTAAATCATAAATCAGATCCTTTTGCAACCAGATTTAATCTTTTTCTTTTCATCTCCATTTACTTGCTTTCAACTCTTGCATCAGATTCTTGGTTTGAGAAATGGGACAAGAACAAAGCAACGAAGTTAAGTAAAAGAGAAACCTTATACCTAAACGAAACTTGCTAAGAATAGATGGGAGAAATAAAGCTATATTCTATGCCTTAATCACCTTTAAAGCATCAACGATTGCTTGGTGATTGAGAAATGAAAGTTTTGGGCCAAACATATTCGGTTCACGTCATCTTTTACGTTCCTTCTTTCAATTACAACTATTTATAAAGAATTGAAAGCATATCAACATTCTCACTCTTACAAGCAAATCTCATATATCACAATTCTCCCTAGCTCTTTTATCATTCAAACACTTACCATCTCTGATATCATGGCTGATGCAATTGTTTCCGCTATCTTGGGGCAGCTAAGTTCAATCATTGGTCAACAAATACAACAGGAGGTGAAGCTAGTTGTTGGTGTCGACAAAGAAGTCGAAAAGCTTAAGAGCAATCTTGAAGCTATTAAAGCTGTGCTTGTTGATGCGGAGGAAAGACAAGTGAAGGAGGAAACTATAAAACTTTGGTTAGAACGGCTCAAACACGCATCCTACGACATTGAAGATGTGTTGGATGAGTGGAACTACGCAACGTTGAAAATGCAAATTGAGGGAGTTGAATATGCTGTTGTTCCTAAGAAGAAGGTGTGTTTCTTCTTTCCCTCCTCTTGCTTTTCATTCAAACAAGTTAGTTTACGTCAAGTTGTTTTACGTCATGACATTGCAATGAAGATAAAAGAAGTAACTGAAAATCTAGATGATATTGCGAAACAAAAAAATACGTATAAGTTTAATATGATTAGAAGTGTTGAGAAGTCAGAACGAGTACAAAGTACCTCGATTGTTGATGTGTCTGAGATATGTGGTCGAGTTGTTGACAAAAATATTTTAGTACGTAAGTTGTGTGACAGTAGTGAACAACACCTTCCTATCATCTCTATTGTAGGGATGGGAGGAATTGGTAAAACAACTTTGGCTCAATTTGCTTATAACGATAATAAGGTAATAAATAGTTTTGACTGTAGGATGTGGATATGTGTGTCTGAGCCTTTTGATGAATATAGGATTGCTAAAGCAGTCATTGAGGCTTTAGAGGATTCTGCTTCAAATTTAAGAGAATTAAATTCGCTTCTTGAACATATTAATAGGTCTATTGTGGGAAAGAAATTTCTTTTGATCTTAGATGATGTGTGGAATGAGGATTACAAAAAATGGGAACCATTGTATCATTGCTTGAAGAATGGTCTCCATGGAAGTAAAATTTTGATTACTACACGTAAGGAGTCGGTTGCACGTATGATGGGATCAATTGATATTATAAATGTTAAGGAGTTGCCTGAAGAAGAATGTTGGTTGTTATTTAGGCGATTAGCATTTTTTGGTATGTCACAAGAGGAGTGTCAAAATTTTGAAGAGATTGGTAGGCAAATTTTAAGTAAGTGCAAGGGTTTGCCTCTCGCTGTAAAGACTATCGGGAGTCTCTTGCGCTTTAAGAAACATAGGGAACAATGGCAAAATATCTTAGACAGTGAATTATGGAAACTTGAAGAATTAGAAAATGATATTTTTCGACCATTATTATTGAGTTATAATGATTTGCCTTCTATGATAAAACAATGTTTCATATATTGTGCCGTCTTCCCTAAGGATTATGAAATAAATAAAGATTATTTGATTAAATTATGGATGGCGCATGGTTATCTAAAAGGATATGAAAATAACGTGATGGAGATAGTTGGTCAAGAATATTTTGATTACTTAGCATCACGCTCATTCTTTCAAGAGTTTATAAAAGATGATGACAATAATATCATAGGATGTAAGATGCACGATTTAGTGCATGACTTTGCCCAATTCCTAAGTAAGAATGAATGTATGTCGATAGAAGTTGATGGTCTTAAGGATCCAATCATAAACTCTTCTTATCATGAGCAAGTTTGTCACTTGATGGTAACAATTTATAGAGAAGATTCATTTCCTGATTCCATTTTTACTCTCAGAAGGATTCGTAGTTTCCTATATAATTTTGAAGATTCCTCGAATCAATTGGCTCCTAATATCTTACCAAAATTATTTGGTAAGTTGACATGTTTAAAGGCATTAACCATAGGTGGAACGTATAGAAGTGTGATTGAAGACATTCCTAAAGAGATTGGAAAATTGATACATTTGAGATATGTTAATTTGAGAGCACTATCAGTGAGAAAACTTCCAGAAGAATTATGTGGATTATATAATTTGCAAACATTAGACATTAGTCGTTGTAGAAAACTGGAAGAATTACCTCAAGGGATTGGAAAATTAATAAATCTAAGGCATCTAGAAAATTTTGGGACCACGTCATTAAGATACATGCCAATAGGAATTCAAAGATTGACTAATCTCCGAAGCTTAAGGTGGTTCGTTGTGAGTGGTGGTGGTGGTACTGATAATAAAAGGTGTAGGCTTGAAGGCTTGAAATACCTTAACCTCTTTGGAGAGTTGTGTATAAAAAAGTTAGGAAATGTATCAAATGTGGATGAAGCTAGAAGATCAGAGCTCAAGAATCAGAAAAACCTCCTTCATTTATCTTTGGATTTCGAAAAAGATGAAGGAGAGAGGATGAATGAGGATGATGAACGCACTTCTTGAAATCTTACAACCAACTTTAAATTTGGAGAAATTACTATATGGAATTACAGAGCACACACTATTTTGCCAATTGGATGACGCCTTTAACCAACTTAAGAATTACAACTTTATTGTTACTAAACTTGAAGCATTTGCCTCCCTTAGAAAATTGCCATCCTTGAATATTTGAGAATATCTAAAATGAGGAGTTTGAAAAGAGTGAGTAATGTTTTTGGGAATAGAAAGTGATGGCACATCTTCATCATTTATTTTCTTCCCCAATTGAAAACTCTTAAGTTTTATAATAGATGAATGAAAGTGGATTATGAGATTACAGAAAGGGAGAAGAAGAAGATATTACAATCCCATCTCTTGTCTTCTTGAAGATTTTAACGGCCCAAATTGAAGACACTGCCAAACCACCTTGTTCAGAATACAACATTGGAAAAGCTATTCATTGTGTCCTTTCTACGCTACGTTGATGAAGGGTGAAATGAGAGGTAATATTTTTTTTATTTTATTTTTGTTTAAATAAAGTATTTGTGTTGAATAATTAATGAATTAGAAGAAATTGAAAAAGGCATGTTTTTTAAGTTATGATAATGATAGATTAGTTAAGGTAATTTAAATAGAAATAATGGTGGAAATGAAAGAAATAGTAAATATAATATGAATACATTGCCAATTTGAATTAAGTATTGATTTGATTATGTTTACATTGGCAGTTGTTTTAAGAAATAGAAATGATAAAATGAATGATTGAGAGAGAAATAGCATTGGATTGTTGAATGATTATGTTTATATATACTCTACTCCACTTGTTTTACACCAATGTTGTTGTAGTTTATACATAATGCAATTATTCGGTATTTTAAATTATAGAAATAGAAATACATTTCTTGAATGTATTTTTAGTTTTATAAAATTATTTTTATTTCATCAAATCAAAATCAGAATGGATTGGTTATATAATCCAATATAACAGCACTGTGTACATAACTGATTTGTGTTTCTGATTCTATTAGTGCTGAGTCTTTACTGTTTCTGATTTTATTTTTGTAATTATAAATCATCCAATTTCTAATTGAATTTAATCATATTCAAATTTAATGTGTTTAAGTATATTTATTCATAGATTTAGAGGTAATTTAATGGTCCAAATTCAACAATTAGTAAATTTTTACTTCATTCCTAAGTTATTTTCGATATTCACTTTTCATTGAAATGAAAGAGATGTTTTAAGAAAATAGGAATACAATTTCTTGAATGTAATTATAAATTAAGAATGGATTGGCCCATTAATACAAAATAAGGTACATCATATTTGCGGAGTTAATTATTAAATTAAAAAATAAACATCTAAATATATATTATTAATTTATACTAAGGCATGTATTTGTATTGTTCTTCTATTTATAGTTTCAATGCAGCATTTTGTCCTCTGGAGAAGGAGTATGGGTGTTATGAAGAGTAGTCGGAACGAGAACTCAGTTAATGGTTGTTGTGAATTTCTCTTTTCTTTCTTCATTTCTGATTTTTAAAAGCATTCAAAAATTGTGTTCTAATTCAATTATTTCTTTAATTTGCAGAACTGATTTACTATTTGGGCTACCTATCCGAGAATTTACAATTTCATTTCACCGATCAGTAGAGAAAATACTCCAGCTCAAACATAAAGGACCAATTTTTATCTGTCAATGGCGGTCACTTCATTGAGGCACTTCATTGGTAAGTCATCTCATCTGTATTCCCAGCTGCCCCTTTATATTAAAACAGAGACAATCCTTGTAGTGAAGTGTATGATTTCTCTTTGTAATTTTAACTAAAAGCCGTATAATTTTCAATATTAGTTTCATATTTCATCAAATTTATTTTCTCAGTCCAGCATTTCACCTTGTCAAGGAGAGAAATTAATGGCTTTAGAAGAGTATTCGAAAGAAGTGGTTAGATATGCTTTCTTAATGCTGCTTTCTGTTCATGCTTTGATGTATGTGAAGAAGTGATTTTCTAGTCATTCTAACTATTCTGAGAATTCAAGAATTCTGTTACTGATCATCAAAGCAAACAGGAGGCCATAGAAGAACCAGTATATCTCATTTATGGAAAAGAAACTTTATTGAGACTTGTAAAAAGAGATAATTTGCAAGATGAAACAAGAGCTCAATCCTATTCTTACCATTTTCCTGGTGAGCTTCAAAGTGATCTACGTTTCTATCTCCTGTTTGCTTCTTGCGTAGACAATTTGTTTATTAATAAAGATACTTGACACACAGCATTTTCCAAAACCAAACCCAGGGAAACTTTGAGAGAGGAGAATGAGTTTTGGAGAGTAGTGGAAAGAACTCAAGACCTCGATAATGGTTGGTTATGCTTTCTCTGTTGCTTTCTGTTCTTTCTTTAGTTCTTAATGTTTATTTAGAAAGTAAATCACATCATTTTGTAAATGGTTATGTTTTATTTATTTTATTTATTTATTATGGGTGCAACAATGCTAAGAATTTCAAGTTGACCAAACGATATCATGCACAGAAGAAAACTTGATTGAGGCACTTGAGCAATGAGAAAATCTACCAGATGAAACCAGTGCTCAATCCTTTGTCTTCACATTTGCCTGGTAAGCTAGAATTTGATACTATTATCATCTGATAATATTGTTTATGCAATTTTTACTTTTAACTAAGGCATTCAAATTTCTATTTGATCACAGCTTCAGAATTTGTGCCTTAGACATACGGAAGAGGATGGACAAATATAGGAGATTATGTTCTCAAAAGGACTCAACTGGTTGGTTTTGTTTTCTCACTTCTTTGTTTTTCCTTATTTTTAAACTAAAAGCACATCACAGCACAATTACTGGTTTTGCAAGTTCTTTAAATTTTGCAGGACTGATTTATATACCTGTTATTTGGTTTCTCTTACTGTTGGATTGTCTGTATGTCAGAAGCTTCTCAAATTACAGTGGATTCCCTCTATGAATGCTTTGATGATTCATTGTGATAGGTTTTATTTCTTGCTTATCTCTCTACTTAGTGTGGACATTCAAAACCCATGTTCTCTATATTAAACTTTATTTTGATATGTTAATTTTGATGCAGAGAGGCAAGTTAAAGATGTCATGAATTTCCTGAAGAATCAAGGTTGACATGATGTCATAAAGTTCAGCAAAACTTTCCTATGTTAAGACATTTGTTCGCTTTTAGCTAATTGAACCCAGGCATAAAATTCCTTCCACAAACTTTTTGTCATGCGGGAAAACAGTGACAAACCAGGAAATATCTTTTGTATCTGTACGTCTGAAGGTCATAATACCACTTTCGTACGTCAATTTCGGTTAATGTTTAAGCTCTTCTTTAATTTTAACTAAGGCATATAATTTTCTATTTTATAGTTTCAGATTTCATCAAAATTTATTTTCTCAGTCCAGCATTTCTCGTTTCAAGGGAGAGAGAATTAATGGCATTAAAAGTGGTCCATAGAACTCAATTAGTGGTTGGATATGCTTTCTCAATGCTGCTTTCTGTTCTTTCTTTGTTTCTTGATTTCTAATTAGGTAGCATACAGAGTATATTTTTATTTCTTTGATGTATGTGAAGAAGTGATCATCAGAGTCAATACTGGAGGCTATAGAACTGCAGGACCAATTTATCTCATTAAGGAGTGCTTGTAAACAAAAAGATGATTTGCCAGATGAACACAGAGTTCAATCCTGTTCTTACATTTCCCTGGTGAGCTTCCAAATGATCTACGTTTGTATCTCCTGCATGCTTCTTGCATAGAGCAAATTGTTATTGATAATAATACTCGAAACAGAGCATTTTTCCAAAACCAAACTCCAGACCTTCGAAGAGAGGAAGAGTGGTTTTCAGAGAGTAGCCGAAAGAACTCTATTAATGGTTGGTTATGCTTTCTCAATGTTGTTCTCTGTTCTTTCTTTAATTCTTTCTTATGCTATTGGAAAGCCCATCTCATCATTTTGTAATTGGTTCTCTATTTCTTTGATTGTTGCTGACAATGGTGGTAATTTCAAATTTCTATTAAACATTTGAGGCCGTAGGAATGGAGGAGAATTACATCATTCACTGAAGAAAACTGATTGAGGCACTTGTAAGAAAAAAGAAAATTTACCAGATGAAACAGTGTTCAATCCCTGGTCTTCACATCCGCTTGGTAGCTAGCATTTCATACTGTTTATTTCTGTCGCTACTTTCATCTTGAAAAAGAAGTCAGATTGAGGTGCTGAAACCAAAAATCAGATTCCCGTAGTAGAACTTATATCACTGGAAAGTCATAACCCCACTTTCTTTACATCAATTTTCTGACAATGTTTAAGTGCTTTTCTTTCTTTTATACTAAGCTATAATTTTCTATTTGTGGTTTCAAATTTCATCAAAATATTTATTGTCTGATCTGTGCAGCTTTCATTATGGAAAAGGTGAAGAGGCATTAGGAGAGTGGTCTAAAGAACTCAGTCTCAATTGATGGTTGGTTTAGCTTTGTCACTATTCTCTATCCTTTCTTTATTTCATAATATTTAACAGAAAACTCATCACAGCCTCGGGTTTTCTGTTTTGTTTAATGTGCAGAACTGATTAACTGGTTGTCTACCTAGGCTTACATTTCCAAATTCTGTAACTGATTCACTGAGGAATATATAAGGCCAACAATGAATTAAGGACAAATAATAATTATCGTTCAATGTCAGAATTTCGATGGGACATTTGTAACAGAAAACAAGTTTTCCTGATGAAACCAGTGCACATCTTTTGGATTAACATTTTCTTGGTCAGTATCTGATATATTTTTCTATCTCCTACTTACTTCTTGTAAGAACAAGTTTTTATTGATATACCCAATTGTTTTTAAGTATTAGGATCATCTCAGTTGTATTCCTGTAAATAATAGTTGAATTTTCATGTTGAATGGTGCTTTTGCATCAAATGTTCATGGAATGATGAATTGATCGAGATCAAGACGAGAATTAAGAGTTTAAATGGAAGATTTAATCATATTCTTGTTAACTGCTCTCTTATTTTGAAATTTCTGAAGATGATGTGTTTAAGAATTAACTTTTATCTACACCATACACAGTTTGTATTCTATTTTCATCCAATGAAATGTTAAGATTTATGAGGTGCATTTTAAATCTAGTTAGTGAGAAAAACACATGTAGTAATGGTTTTCAAAAACTAATTTTGAGAAAAACACATCAAGTAACGATTCATTTTTTGTTTGATGTTGAACAGGTTCGTTAAATAACTGTCAATGCCTTTCTCTTATGCCAGGGAGCTTCTTCAGTTGCACTGAATTCCCCATATGAATTACTTCTATGGTTCATTGAGGTTTGTTTTCTGAACTTTTATGCATCAAGCATGTTGAAAATTTAAAATGCCATTTACTTCTAAAGAAAACTTGACCTTTGTATGTCAGTTATGATACAGTAAATTATATGACAGATGTTGACGAAATGAGGTTGTTTTTGCATTTCCTCAATTGGAGAACTGAATTTTAATCTCTGAAATCTTTTGATGGCTCATTGAGGTTTGTTTTGATTATTTTTCTATGTTGTTAGGTATTGAAAAATTAAAATGCCGCTTTCTTTTGAAATGTCCTTGGATATCGAAATATTCAAATTTAAAATCTTATGAATTTGTTGAAGGATCATGTAGAAGTACTATTCATTTATGACAGACTAAAGTTGGCAGAACGAGCTTCTCTTTTTTTTTTTTTTTTTAACACTTAGAAGTTACTTGAATTGAAATGTCTGTTCTCTTTAAGCTAAGTTTCAGTTATTGATTAGAAAATGAAGGACAAACATAAAGGCAGGAGACGTCATTGATCAACTTTTGATAAAAGGAGAATGGGCTTGATGAAACAGGTAATTTAATTTGTTTAATCACACTTTTTTTATTTTCAAAAGGTAAGGCCCACAGTTTAAGACATTAGTTGTCATTGAGCTTACATGAAAGTGGGCATCAAATTCCCTTTTCTTGACAGAACTTGGCATCATTCTGGAAAAAGTTGATAGGCCTAGAAATATTTTGTATAGCCTATGTCGGAACTCCTTGAAGGTCATAACCCCACTTTTTATACTTTCCGGTTATGGAAGACTGGAAGAATGTCATTAGGAGAGTAGTCCAAAGAACTCGACTAATGGTTGGTTATGCTTTCTCTCTAATCTTTTATTCTTTCTTCATTTCTTAGGGAAAGCATATCACAGCTTTGTGTTTCTGATTTTGTTATTTACTTTAATACATAGAACTGATTACTAGTTGGGCTACCTATGCTGAGAGTTTACAATTTTGTAGGAGTTCAATGGCAAAAACTTCGTTGAGGCACTTGCCTGGTGAGTAGCATCTCATCTAAATTGTTATCTCCCACAGTTATTTTTCAATTTTTTTTGAAAATTCTAAATTACCTATAGATATTCCAGCCTTTTGAGAATTAACATATAATCATTATCATATACAATCCTGGAATGATGAATTTATCGGGACGAGGAAGTCAAACATAATTGTACAAGTTTGGTAGATGAGATAAAATATAAATCATTTTGAAGGTTATTGTGACAATACGAATAAATTCAATGGGAAGGTCTCATCACCACATTAGCACGGTGATTATGGCTGAAGCAATTGTTTCCAGTGTCCTGCAGCAGCTCATTTCAATCATTGGTAAAGGGATACAACAGGAGGTGACGCTAGTCATTGGTGCTGAAAAAGAAGTTAAAACATTTTAGCAAACAACTTCAAGACATCAAGCTGTGCGGAGCAAAGACAAGTGAAGGAGAGAATGTAGACTCTGGCTTCCCTGCGGGAATCTCAGGTTCGCTTGCTTCATCTTCGAGAGAGTTGCATTTCCAGTTGAAACTTAGTTGTGTTGGTCCAGTGGTAGTTCTCAGCACCCTATGGCAACTGGCAAGGACTTGTCAAACGAAAATACTTACAGCTACGGGTTCAAAACCTTTTATTAAAATGTTGACCGCCACCTATGGCAATGGATAAGGACTTGATCAAACTGAAAATACTGGCAACTGGCAAGGACTTGAACTCTTGAAGAAAGCTTTCAGCCTGTTTTACTGTCATGATTTATGCATGGTTAGAAGTTGTATTTAACCATTTTTGGGTATGGTATATAAAAAAATAATAATCAACATACTAAGTGACTATATATCAAATTCTATATCGATACGTATAATCCTTCACTACTAAATTGAATTTGAATTGGGATTGTCACTGTATTATAAATCCTAGAAAATTAGGATGGCTTGTGAAATAGTCATAGTATGATCATCGCGCTCCGATGGTTGTCCCGAATTTCATTATATGTAGTCATAACTTTTTGTACTAGTTTATCCTAAACAATTACTAATAAGTCTTTTAGCGTCGATCAACTTATAATAGTTGGTAGGAGTATGTTTTGATAGATAACTTTTTATTTTTCATTAAATATCTGATTCGATAATTTATTTCCATATACTTGAATGATGGTTGAACTCAAGAAGAAGAACTAGTAATAGACATTAAAACCATATGTCCAGGTTTTATTAAGTTCTTCATGTTATTTGTATTTCTTTTTTTAGAAGAGCGTAAAAACAATATCTTACTTTAAGAGATTACAATCGAATGAATTGTTCACAAACGATTAAGATCTGTTTTAATTTAATTCTAAATCTTTTTGGTTTTCAAATTTGCTTGGTGAGTAGCATTCACTCTACGTTTCTATTTGCAACATTGCTTCTTCAAAAGAACAAATTGTAATGATGGTAGCCAACACCTATTTATATACAACCCTTGGTTAGAATTAGCGTCATCGTTGTCATTTGTAAACTATGTATTATGATATAATGTTACATCTTCATGTAAGAGTGTGGTTTAGCACCGAATGATCATGGAACCATGAATCGTAATCAGAGGAGGAATTCAAAACATAATGAACAAGCATGCTAGTTGGGAAAATCTTATAGTGAAACGTTGTGACTTCATTACACTGGATTCTTATGAAATACCTTAGATCTAGACTAGGGGTCTCTTGAATGCAAGCAAAGCTTTTGTTGTGATTCCTCTCTTTAGCTATCAAACCACAAGTTAGGTAAGAGAGATAATGGCAGTCAGAGAGGTGTTGAAGCATTCTGGTTAATAGTCAGAGTTAATACATGGTTGGTTATGCATTTCACCAATAATCTTATTCTTTCTTCGTTCTTGATGTTTAACAGAAGCACATCACATCATCCTCTTTCTGACATCTACTATTTCTTAATGTGTAGAACTGATTCCTCACCACGGGAGATTGGTCGCCGGCAAAGATATGGCAAAGAAACTTCATTGATGCACTTTAGAACTAGAGGCAAATTGTCTTATGAAAAAGTAGTGAATCTTTGGTTTTTTCACATTTCGTTGTGTGAGCTGGCTTATTATATTTCTATCTCTTACTTGCTTCTTAAATAGAACAATTACTACCCTTTTTAGAATTAACACGTCACTGTCATTTGTAATCCTATAAATAACAATTCATTTATCAATATCGCAGTGTGATTTTGGCATAAATGTTTCTGGAATGATGAATTGATTCAGTTTGAAATCAAAATTTTCATCTATTATAGTTGTTTGAAGATAGTAAATACAGGGTAGTAGTTTTTTTACAAATACCTTTGAAAGACTCTATTTGGTCTCTAAGCAATGTAAATTGTTGTTTTTAAAAATTTAAAAAATTTTTAAACAAAATATGGGAATAGTTAGTTTGTATAGATTAATCAGTTCAGGTTGTTTGGTCTGATTTTCTTTTGCTCTCTATTTTATTGATTTCTGGTCTGGTTTGAATTCCTGGGAAGGTTATGATTTATGTGCATAGACACTGTGTTTCTTTTTATTATTAACTAAACAATTAATTTTTTAAACAGAGCAACACTACCCAACCAGCTTCCGCCCCACCTGAAAATAGTCTGCATTGAAAAATTAACTGCTCCTATAGAAATGTTGAACCAGACGAAAATGAGATTGTTCGAGTTTCGATCGTGGTTGCGTCAGGGCAAGCATCATAACAAACTTATACGTCTTTGATATTATGGAAACACAATGCAATCCCGGCTGTATGTTGAAAGGCTGAAGATTTGTGCAAAGAATCAATTAGGACATGCAATGGAGTAAAATATATATCTTGTTGTATATTATACACACACACAACATGATTAAGGACCACTACATTTATGAACTGTATTGATGTAAAATCTTTAAAATGATATTAATTTTAAATGCTAACAGTTTATGACATCTAAGAAAGCAAAAGATCTTAATATCCAGTGAATCAGATCTCGTTTATTCCTAAAAAATTGCTAATAGCTACTTGTAGGTGGAACAGCTCCAAATTCTCTGTCCATGGCTATTTATGTGTATAACTCTCAACATTCCAGTCCTGCAGCACGTCTTCTTTCTTGTACTCGGCTTCTCTCTCTACCACATCTTGTTTTCTACACAGTAATTTGAGCTCGTTAACAGTTAAGAAGCTCTCTGATGTACATCATGCATTCCCAGAATTGAGGTCTATCGGACTTTGTATATGTGTAAAAGTATATTAGCATTTGGTATCATATAAACATAAAGTAAAACATTACCATGTTATTAAAGAGAGCAGAAAGTTGTGACTACTTCAGCATTAATGGGTTGCGCAAACGCATTCAGGGGCCTCGGTGAGCAAGTAGGGGTCGGGGGGGTAGTGCTTCGGTCTTTTATGAAGAGCGCTGTAAGATTTCTTAAGTCATTAATTTCTTTTGGATTTAGGCTTAGGAATAGAATCCTGATAAAACTAGGTTTAGTCTTTTAAATATAGGATATAAACATATTTTTCTCTTTTTATGAGTGGTGATAGTATCATGACAATTCATTCATTGTAAACGAGAGAGGTGAGATAATATTGATAATATTAACCATCTGGACACAACCTATATTAGGTGAACCAAGAGAAATGCACCGTTTTATTTTCTCTTTATGTCTGTGATTTGTTTTGCTATTATTTTCTCGTATTTATCTCTATTGTTCATACCTTGGAGGGGTAGGAACAAACTCCTTGAGGTAGTGTACAAGTTTTTCCTTTGTGCTTGTAGCAAAGGGTCTATGCATATGTTATTGTAGTTTTCCACATTGAAGGTCAGATGCTTTTGAAGCCAGTTCCATAGTGGAAACAATGCATCTTTGTTGTGATTATGGTGATGATAGAGAGTTCCTTAGTAGAGAGTCAGATTCCTTCAAAATGCTGTTGGTGTGTCGCCACATTTTGGGGGGACAGGGTCGCTGTCCCGCTGCTTGAAGGAACCTAAAATCTGCACCTTTTGCCTTGGAGTTATTGGGAAGTGTTGGCATGAGCTGTCTGTGTGTTGTAAATATAGAAACACATTTGGTTAGGTAACGGATCTTGTATATTAAATATAAGAATATTTAGTTTCTTTAGAATATGATTGTTTCCTACTTTCACAAAGTAATTGTATCTATAAATTGCCTCCAACTTAGAGGAGAAAATATACATATAATTATTCAGGGACTCCATTGTTCAAGATGGTGTCAGAGCAATTCTGATCCTGGGAAATATGCTTAACACGAATTGAATTTCGTATTCCGTAGCCCAAACCCGGAAACCACCATCACAATCATTTCTTTCCCATTTGAAAGTAAATGGCTGAAACCAACCAATCCATTATCCCTGCTACCCCACATAACTCAACACCACCAATTATTATCCACCAAGACAATTCTGCATTTCCTACCAGTATCATATTGGATGAAAACAATTACCCATTATGGTCTCAACTTATGGAGATGAGTATTGGCGCTCGCAACAAAGCTAGATATCTCACCGGAGAAACAAAAAAGCCAACACCTGATGATCCCAATTATGGAACATGGATTACCGAAAATCACAAAGTAAAAAGCTGGCTTATTGACTCAATGAGTCCATTATTGATGTAGCGATTTAGCTGTCTTTCCATGGGCAAGGAAATATGGGAGGTTATGTCAAAAACCTTCAATGATGGATCGGACGAAGCTCGTCTCTTCAAATTGAATCAAAAATCTTTTTCTACCACATAAGATGGTAGATCATTGTCAACTTATTGTAACGAACTTGTTGCTATTTTCCAGGAAATTGATCATAGGACTACCTTTCAAGAAGGAATGGTTGAAGGAATGGTCCAATTACATTCCGCGATGTCTAGGCTTTGCATTCATATTTTTTTGAGTGGACTTGATTCTAAATTTGATCAGGTTTGTGGAGAAATCTTACGAAAAGACCCAAAACTTGATTTGGAGAACACATATGCATATGTGAGGAGAGACTATCAACAACGACAGACAATGGGCGGATCACGCCCAATCTCTGAGAACTCGACTATGTTGGTTAGCCAAACTCGAGAAGGATCATCAAAGAATTGAAATAATCAATCAACTGGAAGGTATAACATCCTTGTATGTAATCATTGTGGTGAAACAGGCCTTTCGAAATAGCGATGTTATGAAATCATTGGCTATCCTGAGTGGTGGGACTTCTCAAAGAAACCAAGGAAGAAGATTCTAGGGAAAGCTATGGTGACATCTACGCAGGAAACTCAATCAAATAAAGAAGACAAATCACAACCTATAGCAAATGTTGCTCACTCAGGTATTGTTGGTAAGGCAAATGTCTTCTCTGCCATTTCTAAGAATAATACTTGGATTATTGATACAGGTGCATCCGATCACATGACTAGGGACTCTAGTTAGTTACAATCCATTCATCCATCTTCCAAATATGTTATATCTATAGCTAATGGCAGTACCTCCCCTATTACTGGAGTACTCTCACATTGAACACAGTCCTTGTTGTTCCCTCCCTTGAATATAACCTGTTATCTGTTAGTCAAATCACCTCTACTCTTGCTTGCTCTGTAACTTTTTGGCCCTCTTTTTGTGTCTTTTAGGACATTCTGACTCGGAAGATATTTGGTTATAGTGTTAAATGGGGCAAACTCTATTACTTGGATTTAACAGAGAATGGAGGACATAAATTCAGTCAGGCATACCAAACTAGTAGTGAAGAAAAGGCTCGAGCAACCATTTGGTTATGGCACTGAAGATTGGGACATCTCTCTTTTGGATATCTTAAAAAATTACAACCACACTTGTTTTCAAATATGAATGATTCGGACTTTTATTGTAATATTTGTGAACTGGCCAAAAGCCATCATATTCCTTATTTACCAAGTTTGAATAAAAGTTTCGAACCTTTTGCAGTTATACACTCGGATCTTTTGGGTCCTGCAAAAAATCCTTCTATTTCTGACACTCGTTATTTTATTACGTTTATTGATGAATGTACTAGAATGACTTGGGTGTCTCTGCTTCACNATAATTTTCTATTTGTGGTTTCAAATTTCATCAAAATATTTATTGTCTGATCTGTGCAGCATTTTACATTATGGAAAAGGTGAAGAATGGCATTAGGAGAGTGGTCGAAAGAACTCAGTCTCAGTTGATGGTTGGTTTAGCTTTGTCACTATTCTCTATCCTTTCTTTATTTCATAATATTTAAACAGAAAGCTCATCACAGCCTCGGGTTTCTGTTTTTGTTTAATGTGCAGAACTGATTAACTGGTTGTCTACCTATGCTGACAATTTCCAAATTCTGTAACTGATTCGCTGAGGAAATATATAAGGGCAAAGCAATGAATTAAGGACAAATAATAATTATCATTCAATGCCAGAAATCTCTATGGGACATTTGTAACAGAACACAAGTTTTCCTGATGAAACCAGTGCTACATCTTTTGGATTTCACATTTTCTTGGTCAGTAAATCTGATATATTTTTCTATCTCCTACTTACTTCTTGTAAAGAACAAGTTTTTATTGATAATACCCATGTTGTTTTTATGTGTTAGGATCATCACAGTTGTATTCCTGCAAATAATAGTTGAATTTTCATGTCGCATTGTGCTTTTGCATCAAATGTTCATGGAATGATGAATTGATCGAGATTCAAGACTAGGAATTAAGAGTTTAAATGGAAGATTTAATCATATTCTTGTAAACCACTCTCTTATTTTGAAATTTCTGGAGATGATGTGTTGTAAGAAATTTAACTTTAATCTACACACACATACACACTTTATATTCTATTTTCATCCAGTGAAATGTTTAGATTTAAGAGGGTGCATTTTAAATATAGATAGTGAGAAAAGCACATTCAGTAATGGTTTTCAAAAACTAATTTTGAGAAAAACACATCAAGTAATGATCCATTTTTCGATTGATGTTGAACAGGTTCGTTAAATAACTGTCAATGCCTTTCTCTTATGCCAGGGAGCTTCTTCAATTGCACTGAATTCCCCATATGAATTACTTCTATGGTTCATTGAGGTTTGTTTTCTGAATTTTATGCATCAAGCATGTTGAAAATTTAAAATACCATTGACTTCTAAAGAAAACTTGACCTTTGTATGTTAGTTATGATGCAGTAAATTATATGACAGATGTTGGCGAAATGAGGTGGTTTTTGCATTTCCTCAATTGGAGAACTGAATTTTAATCTCTGAAATCTTTTGATGGCTCATTGAGGTNTAGTATCTGATCGTTCATCTTTTGGTGACGCGAACAAGAACCGAACTGAGATTCAAAGGACTACAACCAGAAAGCTGATGGTGATGATGATGAGGACGATCTACTGATTCCCTGGCGGGACTCTGCAATCGCGACGAATTGGAAGAACGAATGTTCGAGAAAGAAAACGAGGAACAAGAAGAAGAAGAAGATCTTGAATCACCAGGTGAAGATGATGAAGCCATGAAATCTTCATCACCATCCGAGCTATAAAACTGATCACAATTAACAAAATTATCTGAAAAAATCTCATTATTCGCGGCTTGAACCTTCTTCTTCTTATTATTATTATTACTCCCTTGACTTTTCTTGCTATGTTTCCAAAACATGAGCCTTGAACTTATCGAAACCCTAGGCGGTTCGTCGACCTTAATGCATGGCTTCGGATATCCTAAGCTGAGCACCGCGGGCGGTGGGCTAAGCGGCGGGAGAACGTCTTCTTTCGGGGGATCTTTGGGCGTACCCGGCTGCATTTCCCATTTAAAAGGAACGCCTTCGGGGCTCCGGTAGTAAAGAATTCGCGACGAACATCCCACTGACGAATCTTTGGAAAGAACTCTATTGAAGAAGCAGTCATCTCCTTCAAGAACTAAGGAAGCCTTTCTGTGATGGCTGAGATTATCCATTAATTTAATTATTTCTCTGGAGAAATAATTGAGTGGTGAAATTAATAAATAGTGGAATTGTTTCTAAAATTTGTGAGAAGAAGAAGAAGATTTTGAGACCATGCAAAGTTTTTGAGCTTATTTATAGAGAAGTAAGTTGTCCGGATTTAATGGAGAATGATGTAGTTTAGGAAGCATGATCCTTTTGTTTTGACAATTTGAGAGCTAATTAAGGTTTAATTTATTGGTTTTTTTTTTCCTTCAATCTTTTGGGTGGTAGATTTAAATATTAATTTTAAACTTTACTCTTCATCAGGTTCTTTTAGTCAACTCACAAGTGGGTAATTAAGTAATTAATAATACACGTACAAATTATATATACTTAATCACATATTTTAATTCATTGTATATATATCACACATTTAGTATTAAAGCGTCTTAATAATTATTGGTTTGACGGTCTCGTATATATATTAGGTCTTAAAAACGGATTCACGTTACATGTAAGACGTGTATGCATGCAATTAGACAACTCACAAGTGATTAATCAAGTATTAATATACACTAAGTACTTTAAATGATAATCTTTTAAGTGAGTACTTAATACGTTTAATTAATTAATTAACATTTGTTACTCTCCTAATTAATGTTGCTTCTCAATTGAGTGACTTGAATTTCTTTTTGATATAGACAAGCAAACAAGGGAAAATAAAGGTAAAATATTTATCTTTGTTATTAAGTTTACGTTAAAAAAAATTTATCAATGTTGGGCGGTTTCTGTCGCATGTGCAAATTACCAAACCCTTAAGATATGTACTTAATCTTTTCTTGTTAATTACTTACCTCCTTTTCTCATTCTCTTTTCCAACTAGCCACATGTCGCCACAGGATTGCATTGTTAAGAATGTGAAAACCCGAATATACCCTTAAACTTCTTGATTTTGAGAACAAGAAGGCCCCCATCTAGCTAGCTGTAACATGATCATCTGGTTTCAAATTAAAGGTTCATTGACTTTATTCATATTTTTTACTTTTGAGATTTTTATTTTTATTTTTTATTTTTTCGAATTTGTGTTAGTCTTTCTCCATGTGATTTCAATAGCAATTAGAATGTGAAGATGATTATATTAATGAGCTCAAGGTGGTGGTGGTTGACCAACCAAAGTTGAAAAAAAAAAAGCATATCCAAGCGAGTATACGTGTCAAGACGTACGAGAGATCGAGTGATTGCTCTATAATAAGAAATTAGATATTAAAATGAGAAATGAAGATAGCTCATGCCATTCATTGGATTTTTAGTTGAATTATTCAAAGTGTTGAATTGGGGTTGAAAACCAGTAATATTATTTACCCATTTCAAGAAGAATCCCATGATTGGATGGGTTTAATTATATGTTTTGTGAGTTTTGAGTAATTAGATAGCAACTTGTTGGCTTACAAAAGTTTTAATGAATTTGCAAAGACATAACTTGCACTAAAACATTGTGTTGGCATGAGCTGTCTGTGTGTTGTAAATATAGGAACACATTTGGTTAGGTAACAGATCTTGTATATTAAATATAAGAATATTTAGTTTCTTTAGAATATGATTGTTTTCTACTTTCACAATGTAAGTGTATCTATAAATTGTCTCCAACTTAGAGGAGAAAATATACAAAGAATTATTCAGAGACTTCACTGTTTAACATGATATCAAAGCAATTCTGATCCTAGGAAATCTACTCAACACGAATCGAATTTCATATTCCCTAGCCCAAACTCGAAAACCACCATCACAATCATTTCTTTCCCATCCGAAACTAAATGGCTGAAACCAACCAATCCATTATCCCCACTGTCCCACACAACCCAACACCACCAATTATTATGCACCAAGACAATTATGCGTTTCCTACCAGTATCATACTGGATGAAACCAATTACCCGTTATGGTCTCAACTTATGGAGATGCGTATTGTGCTCACAACAAAGCTGGATGTCTCACCAAAGAAACAAAAAAGCCAACACATGAAGATCCCAATTTTGGAACATGGATTATCGAAAATCACAGAGTAAAAAGCTGGCTTATTGACTTAATGAGTCCACTACTGATGCAATGATTTATCCGTCTTTCCACGGCCAAGGAAATATTGGAGGCTATGTCAAAAACCTTCTATGATGGATTGGACGAAGCTTGTCTCTTTGAATTGAATCAAAAATCTTTTTTTACCACACAAGATGGTAGATCATTGTCAACTTATTATAACGAACTTGTTGCTATTTTTAGGAAATTGATCATAGGACTACTCTCAAGAAGGAACGGTTGAAGGAGTGGCCCAATTACATTCTGCAATGTCTAGGCTTCGCGTTCATATTTTTTTGAGTGGACTCGATTCTGAATTTGATCAAGTTCATGGAGAAATCTTACGAAAAGACCCAAAACTTGATTTGGAGAACACATATGCATATGTGAGGAGAGACTATCAACAACGACAGACAATGGGAGGATCTTGCCCAATCTCTGAGAACTCGGCTATGTTGGTCAGCCAAACTTGGGAAGGATCATTAAAGAATCGAAATAATCAATCAACTGGAAGGTCTAACAACTTGTATGTAATCATTATGGTGAAACAGGCCATTCGAAACAACGATGTTATGAAATCATTGGCTATCCTAAGTGGTGGGACTTCTTAAAAAAAACCAAGGAAGAAGATTATAGCTAAAGCTACGGTGACATCTATGCAGGAAACTCAATCAAATAAAGAAGACAGATCGCAGCCTATAGCAAATGTTGCTCACTCAAGTATTGTTGGTAAGGCAAATGTCTTCTCTGCCATTTCTAAGAATAATACTTGGATTATTGATACAGTGCATCCGATCACATGATAAGGGACTCTAGTCAATTACAATCCATTCGTCTATCTTCCAAATCTGTTATATCTACAGATAATGGCAGTACCTCTCCTATTACTAGAGAATGATCTGTACTATTATCGATTACTCTCACATTGAATATAGTCCTTGTTGTTCCATCCCTTGAATATAACTTGTTATCTGTTAGTCAAATCACCTCTACTCTTGCAGCATTGTAACTTTTTGGCCCTCTTTTTGTGTCTTTCAGGACATTCTAACTCGAAAGATTCTTGGTTATGGTGTTAAACGGGGCAAACTCTATTACTTGGATTTAACAGAGAATGGGGGACAAAAATTTAGTCAGGCATACCAAACTAGTAGTGAAGAAAAAGCTCGAGCAACCATTTGGTTATGGCACCAGAGATTGGGACATCTTTCTTTTGGATATCTTAAAAAATTACAACCACACCTGTTTTCAAATATGAATGATTCAGACTTTCATTGTAATATTTGTGAACTGGCCAAAAGTCATCGTATTCCTTATTTACCAAGTTTGAATAAAAGTTCATAACCTTTTGCGGTTAGACACTCGGATGTTTGGGGTCCTGCAAAAATTCCTTTGATTTCTAACACTCGTTATCTTATTATATTTATTGATGAATATACTAGAATGACTTGGGTGTCTCTGCTTCCCAAAAAAAGTGATGTTTGTACAATATTTCAAGAATTTCATAATATGGTGAGCACTCAATATCAGAAGCAGATTTGGGTTTGGCAATCTGATAATGCGATGGAATTCATAGATACATCCCTCGGAAAGTTTCTAAGCCAACGTGGGATTCAACATCAGACTTCTTGCACCTATACTTCGCAACATAACGACTTGGTGGAGAGGAAGAATAGGTAGATAATGTAGGTGGTTCGTGCCTCCTTGTTTGGCATGAACATCTCTCGGTTCTATTGGGGAGAAGCTATGAAATCTGCTGTCTGCCTAATCAATCGAACACCTTCCTGAGTGATAGAGTTTCAAACTCCTCAACAAAAGATGCAGTCTCTACTTTCAGTTCCTCATCTCCCGAATCTTGAACCAAGAGTCTTTGGTTGCACAGTATATGTTCACATTCCTAAGACTTTGCGAAATAAACTTGATCCATGTGCCAAACGCTGTGTCTTTGTTGGCTATTCAGATTTTCAGAAAGGATATAGATGTTATGATCCTCAAAACTGAAAATTACATGTAACCTTGGACGCCTCTTTTCGTGAATCAAAACCTTATTATTTAGGGGGAGTCTCTATACCTTCTCTTCAGGGGGAGAACTCTAGTGAAGAGAAGATGTTACAAGAAGGAAGCAGAGGAGATGAGTTTTTAGAGCTCGAAAAAGTGAATGAAAGAGTTGGAAGGAGTGATCAACAAAACTTTGATAGTATTATTTATGTGATTGAAAAGGTCATGTTGGCTCTTTCCAAAAATCATTCAGAATCACCAATGGCTACAGAGTTGCCCATGTTAACACCATTAACTGAAGAATCAACCCATAATGCTTCTCCTCAGGTAACTTCCAGTCCCATATCTGATAAGTCTTTAGAAAATTTGGCTCCAAGATATCCACAAAGATCGAATAAGGGTGTCCCAAAGAAACCATATGAACATGATCCTAAAGCCCATGTTAAATACCCAATTAGTAATTATGTCTCCACTCATAGGCTGTCTGAATTGTATGCACTTACTATTAATCAACTATCCAATGTATCTATTCCTAGTAATGTGTAGGATGCGTTGGCAGATTCAAAATGGACAAAGGCAATGAATGAAGAAATGAGGGCTTTGCAAAAGAATTCTACGTGGGAACTTATGTCATTACCCAAAGGAATATGATAGGTCCCAAACGCAGCATGTATAAATGTTAAGATAACTTGTGTTCTCTTCGAGTGAGAACGTACCACAAATTAGTTTCCTCTTTGGGTGAGAAAGTATCACAACAACTCAGATAATTTTTTTGCTTGATAATTCATTACCAACTCGTGGCTGCTTAAATAGCAAAACTACTTAACAACCCACGTACAAGCAAACTAAAACAAAAGGAAAACTAGAAGCTAACAATTGGACTCAAACACACGTAAAACAGAGCATGCAAATACACTTAAAAACAGAGCATAACAAAAATAACATGCAACAGAAAGATAAACGTGCGGCTTGAAATGTAAACGTGCCGCAACACTACGGAAAAGGAAATTGTGCCATAGAAGTAAACGTGTGGCTTGAAACTCTCTAACTGATCACAACAGCTTCTGACCCAGTCCTACGCTTCATTCCTTGCTGCATGCTGCATGCTTCTATGTGCATGCAACGTCTTCCTCATCCATGCAAAGTCGTGGCCTATCAGAAAAAAGACGATCGGATGTAGATGGGTGTTCTTTGTGAAACTTAGAGCAGATGGAAGCATTGACAGATATAAAGCAAGGTTAGTTGCAAAGGGGTGTACACAAAAATATGGTGTGGATTACCAAGAGACTTTTACACCAGTAGCTAAGCTCAACACAATTCACATTCTCATATCTATAACAGCAAATCGAGAGTGGCCTTTGCAAAATTTGATGTTAAGAATGCGTTTCTCAAAGGCGATTTAAAGGAGGATGTCTACATGGAGCTGCCATCAGGAGTTAAATGTACTTCATCGGGTGGAAATGAAGTTTGTACATTGAAGAAATCATTGTATGGGCTCAAATAGTCACTTAGACCTTGGTTTGGGAGGTTCTCTTCTGCAATGAAGGCATTTGGTTATAAGCAGAGCAATTCAGATCATACTTTGTTTATAAAACACAAAGAAGGGAAGGTTTTGGCTTTAATTGTGTATGTTCATGATATGGTCCTGACATGAGACGATCCATGTGAAATGAAGTCATTACAAGGATATTTAGCTATTGAGTTTCAAATGAAGGATCTGGGGCAACTTAAATATTTCTTAGGAATTGTAATAGCAAGATCAGAACGAAGGATTTTTCTTTCACAACGGAAATATGTGCTAGATCTATTGACTGAAATTGGTATGCTTGCTTGGAAACCAGTAGAAACACCCATAGAAATCAATCACAGGCTTGGAGTTTTTCCAAACCAAGTACCAATAGCTATGGGTTGCTATCAATGGTTGGTTGGGAGATTAATTTATTTGTCACACACGAGGCCTGAAATAGCCTACGCTATGAGCATCGTAAGTCAATTCATGCATGCACCAAGTGAAGAGCACATGAATGCAGTATACCGAATATTGAGATACTTGAAGGGTGATCCGGGCAAAGGTTTATTATTCTCAAAAACTGGTGTCTCTAACATTGAAGGATACACAGACGCTGATTGGGCAGGCGATCAAACAACCAGAAGGTCCACATCTGGGTATTTTACTTTCGTGGAGGGTAACCTTGTTATTTGGAGAAGCAAGAAGCAAAAGGTTGTGGCACAATCAAGTGCAGAAGCTGAATTGTGAGGTATGGCTCATGGTGTATGTGAATTGTTATGGATTGGGAGTGTTCTAAAAGACTTGGGGATTGACTATGCAAAACCCATGAATCTTCATTGTGATAATAAGGCCGCTATTGAGATTGCACAGAATCATGTACAACATGACCGCACTAAACATGTTGAAGTTGATCGTCATTTCATCAAGGAGAAGTTAGATCAAAAGATTATGCAGTTTCCATTCGTCATGTCACAAAACCAGTTAGCTGACATACTCACAAAAGCAGTTTCAGGGAAGGTATTCCATAATATAATCGACAAGTTAGGCATGATTGATATCTATGCTCCAACTTGAGGGGGAGTGTTGGCATGAGTTGTCTATTTGTTGTAAATATAGGAACACATTTAGTTAGGTAACAAATCTTGTATATTAAATATAAGAGTTTTCTTATAATATGATTGTTTCCTACTTTCACAATGTAAGTGTATCTGTAAATTGCCTCCAACTTAGAGGAGAAAATATACATAGAATTATTCAGAGACTCCATTGTTTAACACATTGAAAATGACAAAAACAATAAACAAAATTAGTGTTTGAATGTGCATGCCTTAGAATATGGATTTAATTACAAGGGCTAGAAACCGTATTCAAAAAATGTATCAGAATTTTGAATGACAGAGATAAAGGCTTAGAATCAGATGAGTTTGGGGTCAATTTTGAGTTCTGTATTAATTACTTTAACCCTTTTTAACATGACCCAAATTTGGGGAACCTCTAGAGTAAGATAATGATGTGAAAAAAAAAAAAAAAAAAAATCCAGCACCCAAACGGCGCGGGCATTTTATGATAAGTTCTAGAAAATTACATATAACCCCTAAAAATACAGTAAATTTAAATAGTCCTTTGAAAACTACCTTCTGTGAAGTAAACTATCTCATAGACCCTATTATACTATCCAGCCCCAAAACTTAAAGAAACAAATTTAAAGGCCCTTATTTTCAACAAACCCGGGCTTAAAGCCTAGATAGACCGGCATTTTTAATACCTGGCCCCAGGTTGGATTTTTCAATGATGGGATGTGGCACCGATAAATCAAAGATCTGAAAGAGTCCCACCTTTTAACAATTTTGTTGACAAATTTATCCCTATGTTAAGTTATTAAAATTAACTTTAATTTCTTATTTCTTACAAATACTTTTGAGCACCCACTAACCCTAATTTTTTATGCCATGTAAATCATTCTTTAACAAAAAATAGGTTTATGGAGGAAGAAGATTTACAATGAGATAATCAAGTTACAACACAAAATTGTAAGTTTTTAATTGTTTTATATATATATATATATATATATATATATATATATATATATTATATATATATTATATATATATATTATATAATATATTATATTATATTACCAGAAGGGACACAGGATCGTTGCACACAAAGAGGAGATATGCAGAGATTAAACAAAAAAATAAACTTAAACAACATAAACTTAAAATAAACTTAAATAAACATTAATTTAAATATCTTACAACTTAATAAACAACGGCGGCAGAGGCACAGAACATCAGTAAGAAGTGAGGATTAACACTTAACTAGGTAACGGCGACAGTGCCGCACTGGAACCAAATTAAGTGATGAACAAAAATTTAAAGAAACAAAGAACACAAATAAAAACTTAAATAAACATTATATAAAACTTAAATAAACATTAAAATCAAACATGATGAATGATTATTAAAAGAACTAGAACTTGAAAGATTAAAAGAGAATAATCAAAGAACTTGAAAGATTAAACAAACATTTAATGATTATTGAAAGAAATTTAATTTACAATGAAAGCTTTCTTTTTGGAGAGCTTTTGGGAAGTTTACATCAAAAGAAAGTGAAAGAGAAAGTTTAGAATTGGCTTGGCAAAAGCTTCGTTCACATTACACGAAGCCTTCTAATTTATAGAAAACCTTATCTCACTATAGCATCACATGAATTACTATTGAGTGAATATTTTAATAATTTTTTTTTTTAAAATTTTAAAGAGCATTAAATGTCTCTTTTGCAAGGAATCTCTGACTCCTCAATATTATGCCAGATATTCTCTGAAGCTGATGCCAGTTTTTTGGCCAGTCTTCTTTTTGAGAAAAGCGGTAATTTCGAACTGTTTGGAATAAGTTAGATGATTCCATAACAGTCATCTTCATTGCTCTGNATATTTGGAATAAAACTCCCTTAAGCAGTTACTAAACCTGTCCAAAAAATACATTCCCAAAAATTCTACTCATACTCTTTCTAAATTCAACCAAACTTCAACTAATCATCATATAACCAAATCCACTCCTCGTGGCTCAATTCTACTCATCAATAAACATCATTCTCATCAACAATTCTCAAAATCATAAGCACATACATACATGTAAAATCTCTACACAATTGATTTCTCAAATCAGAACTTGAGTAATTCCACTAGAATTTACTTACCTTATACTTGAGTAATTCCACTAGAATCTCTCTTTCTTTGTTAGACTTGTTCTTTTTCTAAAACCCTAAGCATAAACACTATAAGAATTCAACACTTTTAAAATTTAATCTCATATCTATTGCAAGAATTCTTACCTTTGGATGTTTATCTCTACCAAAATCCAACCAAAAGCCCTCTAATTTTCCTTGGAAATTTGATGAAGAGATTGAGAGGATTGAGAATGAAAGTGGCATGTGGGGTGTAGAGAATGGTAGGGTTTGTGTACTTGAACCCTTAATATCTCATATTAATATGCATTCTTTCCCATTTTACCCTTACACTTTATAAGAAATTCCATCTTTGCCCTTTATTTCATTACAAAAACACCCCCATCTCCATTGCATTCTCCATAAAATTTTCTTACTTTTCACTCCCCACATTTACAACTAATAAGAGGTAGAATGGCCACTTTGCCCTTAAGGAAATTTCTCTAGAAATTTCTCAAGAATTTCAGCCAGGCCTTCGCCTTGATGAAGAATCCCAGAGCCTACATTGCCGCGGTGACAACCATCATTGGCTGTGGCGAAGTCTGCACTTTCCAAACTTTTAACCTTTCACCTTAATACAAGCAAAACTAAGGGCATACAAATATAACTAAAGGCAAACAAGCATAAATAAGCTACGTACCTCAATGTGGGCGTTACAATCCTGTACAACATGAGTGCATTAAACATGTTGAAGTTGATCGTCACTTCATCAAGGAGAAGTTAGATCAAAAGATTATGCAGTTTCCATTTGTCACGTCACAAAACCAGTTAGCTGACATATTCACAAAAGCAGTTTCAGGGAAGGTATTCCATAATATAATCGACAAGTTGGGCATGATTGATATCTATGCTCCAACTTGAGGGGCAGTGTTGGCATGAGCTGTCTATATGTTGTAAATATAGAAACACATCTAGTTAGGTAACAGATCTTGTATATTAAATATAAGAATATTTAGTTTCCTTAGAATAGGATTGTTTCCTACTTTCACAATGTAAGTGTATCTATAAATTGCCTCCAACTTAGAGGAGAAAATATACATATAATTATTCAGAGACTCCACTAT